AACCTACAGCAGCCAATTCAAGAAAATAAATCCAACAAAAACCCAACAAACAGTGTGAAAGATGCATCATTCCACTGTATGACAATTTCTTGGCTGTTACAAAATCCCTTTTTTGTGCTTGAACACCATTTCCTGAGTCAAATTATTTAACATTTGTTATTTTCTATAAATTAAATTAAACAAATACAGAACAAACTGTCTTTGTGACAGGCTGCTGTTACCAAAATGCCTAAAAATTGAGTTTAAATAGATTTGTTTTTTGTTTGATGTCAATACAACATTGGTTCAACTCTTGCTTTTAGGAGTCATTTAACGTCTGAAAGCTTCAAGAACTATTAATCAGAATCACTTCTCTATAATAGGTCTGGCTGCCTGAAAGGAAAACATAAAGACATGAGGGATGACTCATGACTTCAGCACAGTAGTGTATATAAATGTCCCTGTTAACCGGCTGTTTAATATGTGTCACCTTGGATTAAAGTCCCCTGCTGTGCACCTGCCACCCTACCTGTCAACCAGGAAAAAGTGATGGGACTTGGGTTCGAAGCAGATCTCACGGGCTTGAATATCAAAAGCAGAACGATATAAGTTGATGTTAAAACATGCGAGTTAGGCGAATTCTTCCCTTTTATTCAATTTCACAGAGATTAGTTTTGATCTCATTCACTGTGTTATGTTTCAGACTATTCACTGGTTTCAGCTTTGAAGTTGGTGGAGGAAGATTTTAGAGAGAGGTAGGTGTGAGGGCTGAGAGGGCCTTGCTAAACCATGTGACAAAAAGACGCTGAGACGCTCTCCACGTCTCCTGATCCACAGGGACGGGGAAAGTAGGCCAGGCTCGGTGTCAGACTGCTGCGAGGATCAGGGTGAAGTTGTTGATTCGTGATCAAAGTTGTTTTCCCCACTTCGGTTGTCAAGACTCTCGCAAAGATGGAGGTTTAAAATTCTTCTCTCAAACACACAAATGTAGGTCATATTTTCCTTCATAAGTGATGCTTTCCAGCTGTGTCATCCTGAAGCAAATCTGTGAAGAAATCAGATTTTATCATTATGGAAATTGAACTTTTCACCCTGTCAAGAACAACAAAAACACAAAAAGAGAAACAAGAAGGGGAAATAAAGAAAAGGTGAAAGGTCTAATATTTATCTAACACATATTTATTCAGATGAGACACAACAAGATAATTATGACTCATCTCACCAGGGAACACATTTGTAGGCTAAATGTTGAACCAGTCTGCAAACATTTCACTTCTATTTTTCTACTCAGCTAATTTTACAAACATATATAACTGGTTAAATGGTAAAAACACAAAAATTACATACAATTCATGAAAAAGAGCAGGATGATGAAAAATCTTATATAACTTCCCTCTTTTCTAATGAAGAGAAGACAAATTAAAAATGACCATGCTTATGAAAACATTCTTCCACAAATCAAACCCAAATACAAAGATGTAAAATCATATTTTTATCTTAAAGTTTGTTTAATTGATCAATAGTTAAACAATATTTCAGCTCATTCCATAATTTTACTCTTTGTGCAGAGATCCATCCATCTATCCTTCCATCCATCAATTAGCTTCAGGTTGCAGGGGCAGCAGCTTAAGCTAGGAGGCCCAGGTATCTCTTTCCCCAGCCACCACATCCACCTCTTCTGGGAGCACTCCAAGGCATTCCCAGGCCAGCCTTGTGGTGCTTTGGCACTGTCTCAACAATCATTAACTCTGCACAACACAGCACCAGTTAAGGGTCTGCGGACTGCCAGTAACACCCCCACTCAGCCCCACTTATGGGACCACCTTGTTTGAGGTTTCAAGTGGGCTGCTCCAAGGGGCTGATTATGAGATAAGCAGATAGCAGACATTGATTGGCCAGCAAAGCTACGTACATCACTGGATGTACATAGCTTCCTCATCGTGTTGATGGATGGTGCTACAAGAAATTAATGCAACTACGCCGGAATAAGCTAACAAAATTCAAGTCAAATTATAGTGAGATTAAGGACCACAGCAGGTGGAGTGGCTCGGACATAAAAAGACCAATTACAATCTCACTTACTATGCATTGACGATCCTGTCCACTGAGCGAGGAAACAGGTCAGCTGCCACTGTAGTGGTAAATCACCTACATCTGAGAAGTACCGAATAAAGGAGAACCTAGTGGAGCTGCACTTACCAATGGCAAAGTGACAATAGTCAATCCAGTATGTCCTGAGTTATCCTCGGGGCTTCTTCCCAGTCAGACAGGTCCATAGCACCTCCCTAGGGAGGCGCCCAGATGGCATCCTTACCAGATATCTGAATAACCTCAACTGGCTCCTCTTGATGTGGAGGAGCAGCAGTTCTACTCCAAGTCTCTCCCGGATAACTGAACTTCTCACCCTATCTCTAAGGGAGAGTCCAGCTACCCTGTGGAGAAAACTCATGTCAGCCACCTGTGTCTGCATTCTCATTCTTTTGATCACTACCCAGAGTTCATGGCCATAGGTGAGGATAGGAATGTAAACTGACTGGTAAACAGAGAAGCTTGCATTACAGATCGGCTCTCTTCACTACAATGGACCAGTAAAAAGTCTGCAATACTGCAGTTGCTGCACTCGCTGATCCATCTGCCAATCTCCTGCTCCATTCTTCCTTCACTTGTGAACAAAACCCAAAATACTTGAACTCCTCCACTTGAGGCAGAAACTCACTCTCAACATGGAGAGAGAAGTCCACCTGTTTCCAACTGAGGATCATGACCTCAGATTTAAAGGTGCTGACCCTCATCCCAGCTGCTTTAGACTCAGCTGCGAACCACCTCAGTGAGAGCTGCAGATCACAACATGATGATACCAGCATGACCACAACATCTGAAAATAGCAGAGATGTAATTCTAAAGCCATTGAACTAGAGACACCCCTACCCCCACCCCCTTCCCATGGCTGCACCAAGAAATTCTGTCCATAAAAGTTATGAATCCATGACAACAGGCAGCACTGGTGGAGTCCACCTCCAACCCTGAATGGTCCAATTTACTGCTGGCAATGTGAACCAAACTCTTGCATTACTTGTATAGGGACTGAATGGTCCATAGCAAGGGGATCCTAATCCCATACTCATGGAGCCCCCCCCCAGCGTACCTCAAGGAACACAAGTGAATGCCTTCTCTAAGTCCATAAAACACTGAATGGACAAACTCCCATGACCCCTCAAGGACCCCAGTGAAGGTAAAAAGCTGTTCCAGTGTTCCCCAGCCAGGACAGAACCTATATTGTTCTTTCTGCATCTGAGGTTCGACGTTTGATTGGACCGCCATGGAGCTTTTTAACTACATCATCAACCTCAGCCAGATTATGGATAGACCAACCCTGAAGTCCACCAACTCAGCCTCATTACTTCTGCTGATTGGATTGAGAAAGTCTGAGAAGTAATCCTTTCATCTTCCTATGACATCACTGGTTGAGGTCAACACAGCACCCCACCTTCACTGAACAGGGTGTTGGTAAAGTGCTGCTTTCCCCTCCTCAGCCATCTGATGGTTTGCCAGAATCTCCTCGGAGCTGACCAAGAGTCTCTATCTAAGGCCTCGCAGAACTCCCACATCCAAGCTTTTGCCAAAGCAACATCCAGGGCTGCAGCTCACTTGTCCTGCCGATGCTCTTCAGATGCTGCTGGAGTCTTACCACCCGGCAAGGCCTGATAGTATACACAAATATAGTGTTGAAATGCTTTCTGTTTAGTTAAAATTTCAATACTTTTATAAATTTTTGTTTGTATATTCAAGGATTCAAGGTTCTTTATATGTCGCTCGCACCACATGTGGTGGATGTGGTGGAATGAAATTGTGTACACAAGGTCCCAGTTACATCCAACAACAACAAAATAAGATTCAAATTCAATTTATGAAGCCTCAGAAAATTCACTTTATACACCATTTCTACTAAGATTCCACCTATGGATGATCATAAATTTTGTTTTGTTCCAATTTAAAAACTATTTATTATCAGTAAACTACTTTTTATGTTGACATCCCAAACCAGACTCTCTGGAATCTTTTTTTTTTTCAATATTTACAACAAAATGTTATATATTTATCATTTGCAAACAAAAGAAAATAGTTTTCTAGACCACTGGTTCTCAACTGAGTAGAAACCTGTGACCCCAAACTATTTTCACAATGACCCAAAAACTGTTTTGTGGGGCCTCCCCAACCTTGGGAAACTTTTATGTATACTCTAAATATCATTAATATATAAATAAATATGTTATGACCTAACACTGAATCTTGAGGTGCTCCACATTTATTTTCCTCAAGTCCTCTGTCCGTCCATCCATCATTATTACGTGCTTCTTCCTTTCCTGGTTCAGGGGTCACATGCCCATATCCAGCAGCCACTGTGGGAGAAGCAGGGTACAACCTGGACAAGTTACAAATTTCAAATTGTACCAGTTTCTTTCTGTTTCTCAAATAAATACACAACCAACTGTGGGTTGTCTCTCATCCCACCTGTCATTTACAGTGGCAAACTATAACAGATGTGTCAAATCCTGGCCCTTGACGGCCAATCCTGCAAGTTTTATTTAGTGTTTTCCAAGCTCCAACACACCTGATTCAATGGTTAAATGACCTCTTCATGTTCTGCAGATGCCTGTTCATCACCTATTGATTCAAATCTGGTGTATGTGTTGGAGAAACATCTAAAATGTGCAGGATAGTGACCCTCAAGGACCAGGATTGGAAAACCCTGATGGCACAACTCTTAATCGATGTATCCAAGTATCATTTCAGTCCCCTCTCCTGTTCTTCACGCAGACCCCAGATAAAAAATGCATTAGTGATTTTAAATCAAACTCACAGCTTAATAAGCACCCGGGGAGCTCTTTTGTTGACAGACTCCTTAAAATGTCCCTGAGAAAGACAGAGGCATCCAAACAGCCAGGAGAAACTCTGCTCAGTCACGTGTTGTTTGTCTCCTACCGTCATCCTCCTCCTCCTCCTCCTCCTCCTCCAGTTGTCTGAGTTGTAATCAGACGACGAATCACGGGATCCCGCGCGCAGCCCGGCCCGTGCGGTCCGGCGGTGGCTGGGATTGGGTGGGGGGTGTGGTGGTTGAGGATTGAGTCACGGGATTGGTAGAGTTCAGCACCGAACTTGTTGGCTCAGAAGCTGGAGCTGCTCTCCATCCGTCTGAACGCGGAGCTGTCCGGGAAGCGGCGGTGCTGAAGCTGCTGCCTTCCTCCCGTCAGATTATAATCTCAGATTATCCACAGGTTTGATTTTGAAGTCGAGACGTTTGGTTTAAACGTTACTTAGCGGAAACCTCCTCCCATCAGTCCATCTATCCTTCATCCATCCACCCATCACCACCGCTCTCGGTCCAACAGGAGCGCGCCCGATCTTCGAACTTCAGCCGATCAAACCGAGGACCCTCTCCGGATCGAAGCCATGGCTTTCATGGTGAAACACGTGGTGGGGGGGCAGCTGAAGAACCTGACGGGCGGACTGAAGGAGGAGAAACCCGAGGGGGAGAAATCAGAAGCCTCCGCTCAGGGGATGACTCAAGAGGAATTTGAGCAATATCAACAACAGTTAGAGGAGGAAAAGTAAGGCTCTGGTTTACTTTTGTTCCAGTAAGAATGCGTGAAAATGTGCCAGAAAGCAAAGTGATGTTTAAACTCGGTGTTTTTATGTGTGGATGGCAGAGCGCGCGCGGCGCGCGGAGCGCATCTTTACGCATCAGCGCAACGACACGAGCGCTCCTCGTGCAGCTGCTCCTCTCTCCCATGGGAGATCTCCATCTCTTAGAATTGTCAAAACACGGTTTTCTAATTTACATGAGAAATGTTTACTATTCTTGTTTGTGTTTAAGAAATTAAAAAAAGAAGAAGTATCAGAGAGCAAGCAACCATCTCCAGTGTTCCTAAATCAGAGCAGACTTTCATCATCCATGTGTGAGATATTATTTAAAATGGTTAAATCTCTGAAATATGCATGGATAGATTATTTTTACGGAAGGAAATCCACTATTCAAATCTCTCATCTTCTAACATTTTAAAAAGTGTATTTGCAAATTAAATTTTTAATGACCCTATTTTTTAAAAAACAACAACACAATTAAGGTCACAGTGCACAACAAGGTCAGAGTTACAAAATGTAGCTCACTACTAGTGTTCTCCCCTCAGAGCAGGACTCCACATTCCAATAGGATTCTTGTTGGTTTGAATACCTAAAGGAAAAAGAAAAATCAGAAAACTCCAAGACATCAGCTCTGCGTTTTCTCACAAAGAGAAAATTCTTCAGTTTTATGAAGCCCTGGCTCTCTAACACCTTCTGATGGGCACTTTTCTCCCAAACCGTGTCTCGGTACCATGTAGACATTTTCAGAATGAGTGGGAGGTGAAGTCATTAACACTTAGTCTCCTCAGCCCACTGAGCTCCACAGAAGGCAGACGGAGAGAAGTTGATGCTCTTCCGTCATGACTCGACCTTCAGTGGGGGAAGAGTTATCGGTCAGAGGGGGATACACATGAGTATAGATCACTGAGGGGTCCGCTCTGCTCAGATTAGAGCAGACTCTTGAAGGGGTGGGTTGGTGGGGGAGTACTTACACATGTTTTATGAAGATGTTTTATCCCCCTCAGCCTTCAAACCATTCTCAGTAACAACACTGTCAACTGATGCCCTTGAGAGGGGGTGGGGGGTGGGGGGGGGGGGGGGACAGAGCTGCTCATTGGTTGCAACTGAGCGATGCACCAAGGGGGCCTTCTTAGTATTTGGTAATCCAAAGTGAACCCCAGACCTCAGGGGAGGAAGCATCTCCTCCCAGGATGACCTTCCTCTGACACAGGAGCAAACACTGCTCAGTGTTTCAGCAGCGCTGCTGGTTTGATCCAGAGGGTCAAGTTTCGGCTTCTTCCTGTTCACATCTGCTCCGACAAAAATAATCTATGGATTTTTTTTGTCATAGAAACCTTCCTTATTTCACTGACTACAGTGCTGACCTCTCATTTGACCTCAGGTCATTCTATCATGATGTCTGAGGTAGTTCAGCAAAATCTTTGTTCCTCACTCACTCAGACATTTTTGTCATCTGAACTGCAGAACACATTTACAGCCTGCCCTCTGCTGGAGGCAGCACACACGGAACTGGATGTCTCCAAACATTTGGGTCTTCTTCATATTAAAAAAATTATATTAAAGCACATGTTTGAATGACTCAACGGAAAATAAATATGTTGGCTTAATGAAAACGCATGAGTTAAGATGTGCCAACATGTATGCCTCCAGTATATAACAATCCTAAACAAAACATCAAATTATAGAAATCCCACAGTGACTGAGATCACTTTTAAACTGACAAACCAGGAAATCTAAGCCCTTATCTTGTATGATCATTACTTTGGCTATAGAGTCTGAATTTGTAATATTTGTTGACTGTCTTCAAACTTTATTCAAATAATCAGTAGTAATTATTTTGCTCAAACATCTTACAAGTATTATAAATATACACAAGTGCAAATAAATGAATGAAGGAAGGAAGGAATGAGTGAATGAATGAATCTGGAAACTTAGAAAAACTTGAGAGAACTGCTAAAAATAAACTAGAGATATTGAATTTCTTGTGAAAATGCAGTGTGAATGTTTATTGCAGAACTTGCTGAAAAACAGCTGAAAGTAGCTAAAACAGCATTCTGAAATGTAGCTGAAATGGAAGAGCAAGCCTAAATTACCAGAAGAAAGCAGAAACAGCACAAATTTGTTGAAATAGGTTTAAATAAGCAGAAATCAGCACAAAAAAATTGAAATTAGCTTAAAAAAAGCAGACAGAAGCATAAACTATACCAGAAGGAAATGGAAAGAACTAAATAAATAAAGTGAAATTAGCTGAAAAAGCTAAAATTAGCATCAAAAGAGCTAAATAGAAGCTGAAATAGTAGAAAAAGCTGAGACTTGCAGACATAAGTTGAAAGGAGCATACAAGCCAAATTTAGCAGAAAGAAGTTAGTAAAACTACAGAAATGTTATAGTTAGAAATAATCTGTAAGGAGCACAAAACAGCTGAAAAAAACAGCTGAAATTAGCTGAAAAAATGTTTAAATTTGCACAAAAGGTTGTAAACATATCTAAAAATTTGAAGAATGAGAATGAGCTTAATTCATTTTCTATGAGAAAAAAATGTCAGAAAAGGCTAAATGTTTTAAAAAGGTAAAGTTGCACCAATTCCAAAAGTCAAATCAGGATGGTTCTGAAGGAACTGAATGTTTTGATGTATGATTTGTTGAAATAGCACAACAATTGTGGAACGAGAAAGATGTTGAAAAATGTACAAAAGAAAAATGGATCACAATAGTGTGAACGCTTCATTAACATTCACACTATAAAAGGACTTTGCAGCTGCAACAGATCTTGTAAACTGTTTTAGTATTCATATCAGCTCTGATGTGACTCTTACTTAAAGACGAGTCATTAAAGGTTCATAAGGTTAAAAATCAACATCCTGCAGACTGAAGGAGTTGAAAGAAAACTTCAGCTTTAATGATAAAAGGTGACTTGTGAAAAAAGAGGGGTTAACAATTGATAAAATTCAAACCTCTGACTGTAGGGCACAGTAGTGGAATGATCATGGTTTGAGCTTGTGGTGCATGAAGTGTCCACAGAAGCCGTTTCCTTTTGGGAAAAAAAATTAGCAAGTTCAGAAAATTAGGAAAGAAAATAGCTGAATATGAACAGAATAGCTCATTCTTAATGTCAGCAGTGGACTGAAGGCTGCACAGCTGCAGAAAGAAAAGCTTTGCAGAGAGTGGTGAAGGCTGCACAGAAGTCTGTCGGAATCAGCCTCCCCACCATCACAGACATCTACACCTCCAGATGCAGGAAGAGGGCCACCTGCATCATGAAGGACCCCACTCACCCAGCACACACACTTTTTGCCCCACTCCCCTCAGGAAGGAGGTTAAGGAGCATTAAGTGTAGAACCACTAGACTGAGGAACAGCTTCTACCCTGAGGCTGTTAGACTTATGAATCTCTAACCAGAATAATCACTGTGAAATACCACATCATGTTACTGCTGATCTGTTTCATGTTGATGTGTTCATGCGTGCACATCCGCTCACAGACTCATGTTCATGCTGATGTTCAATGTTTTTAATGTTATGAGTGCTTAGTGTATATTTAGTTGATGTTTTTCTTAGTTCATATCTTAGATGTTGTTACTGTTTTTCTTATACATTTTATTGTTGGATGTAACTGGGACCCTGTGTACATAATTTCGCTCCACCACATGTACCACATGAGGTGCGAATGACAATAAAGAAACTCTGACTCTGACTCTGACTGACTAATATCAGACGTTCAGCTGAGGCTTTTCCTTGACCCTCATAATCTACACCCTGGAGCAGAAAAGATGCAAACAACAACTGAACATGACCAAAATGAGAGGAAAAACAAACAAACAAGAATGGAGTAATTGTGTTACTCACACTGATTAAACTAAAAAAACTAAACAACCTTTTAAATATTATAAAAATATATATATAGGGTATTTTTGCTGAGACATTTTGTCCTTCATCCAAAGGACTGCATCAGTCCGAGAAGCCACAAAGAAAACTGAGTCCCACAAGCAGTATACTCCCATAGTGAAACAAAAAGTATTTTGGGGAAAAAACTGTGATTTTTATCTGGCTTGATGAGCATGAACTTTGATATATACAGTAATCTTTTAATTTTACTGTAATTTAGAAATCCCACCTCTTGTTTCTGGTATTGGTATTAACTTCAGCAGAGTTGTGGGTGTCCACACGTCTGCGGGAGTCCGACTGTGGCTTCTGCTTCAACCTGTTTTGCTCTTTTGAACCAGTTTAACTAACATTTTGCTGCACGGACTCAGTTCAGGAAACAAAACACTTTAAAAGCTCTAAAAGTGTGTTAGTGTGTCAACATTTGGTAGGTTACCTCTCATGGCGCATAAACCAGGACGACTAATCAGGAGACAGAGCTGTAAACAGGAAGTTGAATGTGGACCCCCAGACACAAACAGAACATTTCAACAGAGCACCAAAGTTCATGCTCAATAATCCAGGTCCAAATCCAACAATGTTCAGTCAGGTCATCTGGATGGTTTCTTTCTTTGATGAGACGTTTCGTCCTTCATCCAAAGGACTTCTTCTATCCGAGGAGCCACAAACAAACTTGAGTCCTACATAGGCCTGTCACAATAAACAGTAAATCAATTAATTGCATGATAAATTAAAATGATCAACCTCATTTTCATTTATTGGCTTTATGGTTTCTCTGTGTCTCTCTCTTTCTACTGAAGACACTGGATGACAAAAGACTCAACTCCGGTGCTCTTCACTGACCCCTCCCTTTCTCTTTTCTCTTTAAAATCTGTTTTAAACGTCCACAATCGCAATTTGTGGATTGTTAAAAGCAGCTAAGCTGAGAAGCTAAGCTACGAGCTAAGCTAACAGGCCGACCTCGGGGGTAAACCTCTGTCTTGTCAAAGCTCCAAAATTCACGTTTGAAACCCGTGCCTTTGTCTAAAAAAGTTATTTTTCTCTGCAAAAAGAAGATGAGAACTTGTTTACTGATTTTTTTTCATTAAAAGCTTTTTGTGACAAATGCTTTGCTAAAGAGCTCAAACCACACCGAGCGGCCATCATTTTGAGAACCGAAGAGAGACAGCTCATGTCACGTCAAGGGACCTCCCTCCCATTTTTCTTAAAGAGACACACTGCTGCTCCCTCACTATCCATCCTTCAGCTCAAACAGTCTTATACTGCCATCCAGTGGTCAAAAAAGGTGCTACACACAGAAATTAACCAACATTTCTTCTTAAATTTGACAATAATTACTAATTATTGTCAAATTTCAAACAATATCGTTTATCACAATAATTTCTGAGATGATTAATCGTCCAGCAAAATTTGTTATTGTGACAGGCCTACAAGCCCCACACTCCCATAGTGGAAAAAAACAGTTTGCAGGTGATAAGATGGATGACCTGACTGAACACTGTTGAATTTTAACCTGGATTATTGAGCATGAAATATGGAGTTTTGAACCATTTTGGCATGGCTGCCCCAGAGGAGGAATGGGCGGGCCCCAGAAACCATCTTATCACCAGCAAACTGTTTTTATTTTCCTACTATGGGAGTGTGGAACTTGTAGGACTCCAGTTTGTTTGCCTCGGACTGAAGAAGTCCTTTGGATGAAGGCTGAAACATCTCAGCAAAAAAAGAAACTGTCCAGATGACCTGACTGAACATTGTTGGATTTCAACCGAGCCATACCAACCACTTTAAAATACAGACCTTGAAGTGAGAGATAAAACATACATTTTAAAATAAAGTATTTATTTTGCCACCTTTTGATGAAAGCAGAGCTGTGTAAGAACATCTGTATGATTTTGAGCACTTTCGTTTTACTTTAAAACCATTTATTTGTCCCTTTCCTCGCAGACAAGAACGAGAAGCTCATTTTGCCCAGAAGAAAGCGGAGCGGGCCACAATCAGAACCCACTTCCGGGAAAAGTACAGACTACCAAAGGTAGACTAAACTAATAAATGTACTTTACTAACAAAATTACTCCATCCAGAGATTGCAAACAGGATCCGATGTGCACGAACCTGTGTGTTTATTTCCGTACCAGAATGAGGTGGACGAGACGCAGATCCAGCAGGCGGGCGATGACGTCGTGTTGCCCACAGAGCTGGCCAAGATGATCGCCGAGGATAACCAGGAGGAAACACACAAGCAGTCGGTGCTGGGCCAGCTGTCCAACATCCAGAACGTGGACATCGACCAGCTGAAAGACAAAGCTCAAGCCACGCTGGAAGACCTGAAAAAGCAGACAGAAAACTGCAGCCTCATGTGATCGGCCGGGAGGCTCAGCAGATCAGGGAGTTACTCGTGCAAATATTTATCAGAGGCAGAGCTTCTCCGGGTGTAGACATTTTCTCATTGCTTTAGTGGAATGTGAGTTGGCAGAGATGCTTAATTACATTTTATTTTGGCAAAGTTAAACTGAAGCTTATAATATTTTGAGCTTGTCTTACTCACTTACTTAAACAGAAAAGAAAGAAATTCAACGTTCTCATGGTCCTGACTCCTGAATGTCCATTTACAAAAACAACTAATTCGTGCTCTGAAAAAAACTGAGACTTAATCAATGAGATCATTTCTGCAACGAGCTACTCCTCCTCTGATAAAGTTTGTGAGTGTGCACCCATTACGCCCCCTCCATCCCCACTCACCTCGGCTCTGTACTTCCTGTGACCAGTGATAATCAGAAGGATTCTGCTGCACCGGTCGTGGCAGTGTGAGCTGTTTTTACTTATTTACATCCTTCAAAAACAAAGCAGATGTTTTCACAAACAGATCAGCTGCTTGGATGGGATAGAAACAGGCGGCGAACACTGGTGTTCAGGTTCAATTTGGGAAATTAAAATATGATTTTAGGAAAAATTGAAAGATTTTTGTGGGGTTGTTCATGCTCCTTAAAAAAAAACTTAAATATGGCCTAAATAATTTGGACAAATTTTGCCACAAAAATATTAACATCAAGTTCTGACCAGACTGACTTGTTAAAATGCAGGCACATCTGTACTGTATTTAGACCAAGAGTCCTCCACTTCTTTAGTTGTTGGGATAAGAACCAGCAGGACCTGGTTCATGGGAGCTGCCATGTTGTATTTTTGGAACCAGAGTGTGTGCACTATGTGGGACTTTAAGTCCCGCCTATTCCTCCACCCACATGTGATTTTTCTTATATGCATAAAAGAACTAATTTCAGCTAAGTGTGTTGAAAAGAAACTAATACTCAAACACACAGAAGCAACGTAAGAACTAAGTAAATCAACAAGAGACAACGCCTGAAAAAAATATCTGAAGTATATTTATTTATGTATTTATTTATTTTATCAAAGGCAATCTTTCTTTGTTTACATCATGGAAGAGGCGGGACTTAAAAGTTCTAACAGAATCAGTTAACAGGTAAAGTTGATCATGTTCTGGCTTCAACTTCCTGGTTCTTGTCTGAGATCTAGATACACTCAGTCTATAGTTATTACAGAGGGACACCACAGCTTCCTGCAACTAGGAGGCTTTTTATGGTGGGGGAACTTTTTTTTTGCACAACCCTGGCAGACTCTGAAAGAGGTTCATTAGAATATTATGCTCACTTTTAAAGCAACAATAACATAACAACCAGGGAAAGTGGTAAGATTTTATATCTAAAATAATTCAGATGTGATATTACAACTATTCACCATCACACACTCTGTAAACATCTTCATATTTTTACAACTATTGTGTTTTTTTCATTAATTATTTTACAAACAAGGAAACCATTGTGTCTAAAACAAAGAAAATATGGATTATATATCAGCATAAAGTGTCCTAATGTAAAAATTGGCAATTGAACTTGGCTATGGAAAAACTCCCATCAGTCAGCCTCTCCTAGAGCACGGGTTCCCAAACGTTTCCATGCCATGGCCCCCCAAACAGCATTAGCTTCTAGCCGAGGGCCCCCCTCGCAAACCCACACATAATGCTACAAAATATGTAAAGAAACATCAACTTTTAGAATGTTTTAATTTCATTCATTATATTCAGTTAATTATTACAGCTGCTGAGCATAAAACTGTTATCAACGAACATGTTTCAAACACTGTATTATATTCCCACTGACAAAAACAACTTTTCAACAAACTGTTGACCAGAGGAACAAAACAAAATAAATCTAACCTGTTTCAAGTGTGTTTATCTGGAAATGACACATACAGATTGCTCTAGTGGGCAATTTTTATTATTATTATTACTATTTTTTATTTTTTGCCTTTTTTTTTTTAATCTTCTTCTTTTTAGCTTTCTGGGGACCCCCTAGCTCCCCCTGGTGGCCCCCGAGGGGGCCGCGGCACTCACTTTGAAAAACACTGTCCTAGAGTATATAGAATATTCCTTTAGAGTCACAATAAGACCATTTGTCATCTTTAATATGTTTACTAATATGCTGCCGTAATCTCAGTCTTTTCCAAGACTTATTATATTCTGAAATGAATTTCAGCTTTTTTTGTCAGTGTGCCTTGTTTGTTGAGGTTGTTTTTTTTTCAAGCTCTAAGATCCAAACCACGGATGAAGCTTGTTGGTGGTTCACATCTCCAGGGTATTGCCTAATTTTAGATTTATTAAACAAACAATTACTGAGTAACCGAGGGGCAGGGTAGAATTGCAGTAAATTGTATTAAATGTAACTGTGCAGTGCTCCCAAATATAACCTAGCTTCCATGAATATACCCTGTGTGTCAACTGTATATAATGAGAGAATCTGTTCATGCGCTGCATTCAGATGGTTGCTCAGACGTTACAAAAGGGAAATGCTTTAGAAGTTGTATGCCAAAGCTTTCGCTGATAACCCTCAGACCAACACAGAGGAAATGGGACAAACATGCCAGATTATATAACTACAGTGTGTGTGTGTGTGTGTGTAAGTCTATATACAAATATGTATGTTGTATAAGATGTAAAGTTGTGTGCCGTTTGCCTCCGCCGTCCCTAACAGGCCGTGTGCAAACAATCCATGGGTTCTGTAGTGTCGTTAACCCCATCTCATCCACAGTGCCAGTAGTGCTGCTTTGATTTGCTTTGTTCTGGTGGCTTTTGTGTTGTTTAGCTGATGTGATATGTCAAATGTTGTCTTTGTAAAAATAAGAAAAAAACCAACATGTCCTATAGCTGCAACGGTTCGACTCCAAGTCAGTTTGTAGGGGCTGAAGCTGCTGTTTTCTTGCCAAACATAAGAGAAAAGAACAGGGGGTGGGGGGGGGGGGGGGGGGGGGGGGGGGCTGGTGATGACTCAAATAGGTTGTTTAATGTGTCATATCTATTTTTTTTTTACTTTTTTCCAAATTAATTATTGCTTTAAAGACTTCAGTTATCCAACTTCTAAAAATAAAAAAGGTGTTTCTTTCCTGTAGACGCCGCACTGCTACTGATCAAATGCTGTCTCAGTGCATTTTAGGTGCCATGTTTTCGTTTTTAAATGTGATAATTGTACAGTTTATTCCAAATGTATCAATAATGTAAGAGGAAATGTTGCAATATGTTATTTTCTTATAGAGCTAGAATCTGCCATCTACGATCTTGAAATGATAATATTAACAATAGTTGGGAGTGAAGCCATAAAATAAAACAATTTGCTTTGTATGAGAGTGAGACTTGAACTAATAACTCAGTAATAATGATAATAATAATAATAATAAAAGATAACTGTAATTTGTGCTGTCTTTTTTGTTTTTGTGTGTGGAGCTGATTTTTATAGCAAAATGGCTGCCACGACACGCAGTCTCTGCTCATCCTCTGGCTGTTTCTTTGTGTCACTGTATCTCTGTCACTTTGTCTGGGAATACTCCAGTGATATATGAGTTTTAAACTGCAATAAATAGATTTTTATGATACAGCTGGTTCCTTTTCCATTGTGTGGTGTACCTCTACACAAAGCAGCCTTGGCGATGCTCTCAGTCTTTTGTGCATTCCTAAAAATGTATTCAACGTTTATTTAAACAGGTTAGTCTCATTGAGCTTCGGGGACTCATTTAAAAGAGAGACCTGTTTTTAACAAAGAATTATGACAACAGTCAACAATCATAAAATAAAGCATATAAATAGAGGAAAAATAAATGAAAGAAAATTATATTTAAAAAAACGAAACAAAAACAGCAAGATTATAAGGCAATGTAGAAAACTAAAAACAGGAACATGTCTGCATTGGTCCCTGCCAGGAGTCCAACAGATTCTTAAAGTCACTTAGAGAGGTCAAGGTCGAGAGCTTCAGATCTTTTTGTAAGATATTCCAGGAAACAGGAGCGGAGTAGGAGAAGGTCCTTTTGCCTAGTTCAGTCCTCACTGAGGGAACACTGCAGGTAATAATGTCCTGAGAGCGCACGCTGTAGCTGCACTCACGCAGAGACATGTAGGAGGAGATGTATGAAGGCAGCAGACCAAGAAGTGATTTAAAGAAGAAAATGTACCAGTGAGAGAGTCTGTGTGAAGTTAATGATGTCCAGTTAACCAGTGAATACAGGGTGCAGTGATGAGTACGGTAGTTGCAGTTATGAATCTTAGTGCACCATGATAGACAGCATCCAACATCTGCAGGGTTCTTGTAGGAGTGTTCATGTAAATAATGTCACCGTAATCAATGGAGGGAAGGAAAGTCGCAGTTACAAGGTGTTTCCTAGCATTCAGAGTTAGACAGGATCTGTTTCTGAAAAAGAAACCCAGTTTAACTTTCAGTTTCTTTCCCAAGTTGTGGAGCTTAAAAGAGAGATGCAAATCAACCAAGATACCCAAATATTTATAGGAATCAACAAACTCAGTAGGAACACCATTCAAAGATAAAATGGGGGAGTGGTGACGCAGAGTTTAGAAGATGGGCTTGTGATCGGAAAGTCGCAGGTTCATCTCCCGGTACCGTCAACATCAAAATGTGGGTGGAAAAAGTGAAACCCCCACACCTGCCTCCACCCTCATTTGCCCCACTCTGGGCCCCTGAGCAAGGCCCTTCACCCCCACCATCCGCTCCCTAAACAGGTCTCTCTTGAAAATGAGTTCTCGTGACTCAATGAGACAACCTGTATAAATAAAGGGTAAATGAAAAAAGTTGAGGGAAGGGCTGCTGGGACCGACTTCCTGTTTGAAAACAACATCCCTTTGATTTTGTCGGCGTTTATTACATGTTTGAGACTAAACAAATCTGACTGGATGATGTCAAAACTGGATTGCAAAAGCTGGAAAACCTTAGCAACAGTTTTAGCTCGACAGTAAACAACTGTATCATCAGCATAAAAATGTATGGATGCATCAGGGATGATCTGACCTACATTACCTATGTAGATTGTGAAGAGGGTGGGGCCTAAGACTGGGCCTTGTGGTACACCATTGTTGACTGTTAAATAACTGGAGGAAGTACCATTATGTTGAACACATTGCCTTCGGTCTGAGAGATAGTTAGAGAACCAACCAATGATGTGATCTGAGAAACCAATTTCTGAGAGTTTATGACACAAGATGTTATGATCCACAGTGTCAAAAGCTTTAGACAGGTCTAAGAAAAGTGCAGCACAACAATCCTTAGCATCCAGTGCTTCAACAACATCATTAACAACATTCAGTGAAGCAGTCATTGTGCTGTGTTGTTTCCTGAAACCACATTGATGGAGAGGTAAGATGCTAAATGAGTCCAAATACTTTTTGATTTGAGAGTTTATCAGTTTTTCTAGAACCTTGGCTAAAATACAGTTTAGAGATTGATCGATAGTTGTTCAGTGAGGTGGGGTCACCTCCCTAAAATTACACCAGATGGAGACAAAAACACGCTTCACTTAGAACTACTGGGATCAGCAAAGCAACACAAAAATAATCACTATACTTCAACTGTATTTGTATTTAAGTAGAGATTCTTTAATAATTTGTATTTATAATGTAAGTGCTATGTGTTGTCATCATTGTATATTCCCATACAATGGTAAAACTAGTTCTCTGCATTTAACCCATCACACCTGGGATACACCCAGGTGGAGCAGTGCGCAGCTTTGCAGGCTGCCCGGGGAGCAGTTGGTATCTTGCACAGAGACACCATGATATGTGGGAATGGCTGGGGATCGAACCTGGGACCACCCATCTCGGCCCCCAGTTTGGCACTAATTAATCCAAAACATTGCCATTTTTCATCTGTATTTATTTATTTCGTTTATAAGTCTTATTTGATGATCAGCCTGATGTTCTGTCTTTAGGTTTTGATTTAGGGTTTTTATTTAGCAGATATTTGAGTTTCCCCTGACAATTTAAAAAAGTCTGTATCTATTTTTAAGTGAGCTACTAATCATCTCAACAGCGGGCGTCCAAGAAAGTTCACTCAGAGGTCAGGCTGTCCATCTCAGACTCTAGGCCTCAGTCAGCACGTCAACGTACATTTTTTTAAATGGAAAAACTGAACAAGATTGGTTTGTTTGAAGTATACCAAGAGAAACGATCTTCTCACTAAAATAAACAAACTCGCTTGTAAAGTTTGATAAGAACAAGCCACAAGACTTCTTGATGGGCAGTGGTTAAACTTTAGAGAAATGTTTCACAATAGTGTTACATAAAAAAACTCAGCATGTAATATCACAAATACTTCATACTTACTGTCAAGCATGGTGGTGGAGTGGCAACCATTTACACTTTGAGTCAGCTGTGGACTCCACTGTTTCCCAAAGCCTTCTAGAAACCGACTGTCAGACAGCTGAAGCTGGGCCAACATTTGGGGATGAAAGAACAAAGACTCAAGACAAAATACCACAAAAAATGAAAACAGCTGAAATGACTGTTTAAGTCCAGGTCAGTCTCATTTTAGTTTTATGTCGGGACGTTAACAAAGCTGTGGACAAATGAATCTCTGCAAACCTCAATAAGCTAAAGTGAATTTGTAAATTAGAGGGCCAAAGTTCAGAAAAACAGAAGGCGACTACTTCAAGGTTCTTTACTGTCATTCGCACCACATTTGTTACATGAGGTGGAATGAAACTGCGTACTCAGTGCCCCAGTTACACCCAAAAATAACAAAAATATAAAGTATATAAAGAAACAATATATAAGGATCTAAGATACACGCTAAACACTAATAATGTAGAATAATACGGTGTATTAAACAGCAGCCTGAACATGAGTCTGTAGTGAGCAGATGGGTTTGAATACAGCAGCTTAAAGGTAAGAAATCAGCAGCTTGGATAATCAGCAGCACAGATAAGTTGAGGATAAGCAGCATGGATAATCAGCAGCACAGATAAGTCACATATCACCAATTAAAGTCGCATTACAGCGATTTTTCTTTTATTGTCTTACAGTGATTATCCTGGTTATGAGTCTAACAGCTTCAGGGTAGAAGCTGTTCCTCAATCTAGTGGTTCTACAATTAATGCTCCACAACCTCCTTCAAGGTAAAGCTGGAAAAGATGGTTCATAAATTAACAAATGTATGTAGAGTTGTACATACTTCTGCATAGTTGTTATTGACTTAGCATCCATTTGCATTTACTATGGTGTACCACAAGGCTCAGTTTTAGGACCCAGCCTCTTTACAATCTACATAGGTAATGGATGCCAGATCATCCCTGATGCATCCTTACACTTCAATGCTGATGACACAGTTGTTTATTGTCGAGCTAAAACAGTTGCTAAGGCTTTCCAGCTTTTGCAATCCGCCTTTGACATCATCCAGTTAGATTTGTTCCATCTCAAATTTGTCCTAAATGCCGATAAAACCAAAGGGATGCTTTTTTTTTCAAACAGGAAGTCAGTCCCAGCAGTTCTTCCTCTGATTTTATCCTCAAATGGTGTTCCTATTGAGTTTGTTGATTCCTACAAATATTTGGATATCTTGGTCAATTTGCATCTCTCTTTTAAGCTCCATGTGGAAAACCTAGTAAGGAAACTGAAAGTTAAACTGCTGTTTTTTTCTTCCAAAAATAGATCCTGTTTAACTCTGAATGCTAGGAAATGCCTTGTAACTGCAACTTTCCTTCCCTCCATTGATTACGGTGACATTATCTATATGAACACTTCTACAAGCGCCCTGCAGATGCTGGACGCTGTCTATCATGGTGCACTAAGATTCATAACTGGCTACAACTACTGTATCATTGCACCCTGTATCCACTGGTTAACTGGTCATCATTAACTTCACTCAGACTCTCTCACTGGTACATTTTCATCTTTAAATCACTTCTTGGTCTGCTTCCTTCATACATCTCCTCCTACATGTCTCTGCGTGAGTGCAGCTACAGCGTGCACTCTCAGGACATTATTACCTGCAGTGTTTCCTCTGTGAGAACTGAACTTGGCAAAAGGGTCTTCTCCTACTCTGCTCCTGTTTCCTGGAATATCTTACAAAAAGACCTGAAGCTCTCGACCTTGACCTAAGTGGCTTCAAACATCTGTTAAGTTCCTGTCAAAAAACAATTCAGACATGTTCCTGTTTTTAGTTTTCTACATCGTTTTATAATCTAGCTGTTTTTTTTTCTCTCGCTACTTTTCCTTTTGACTGTCCTTTTTGTTGCTATTTAGTTTTGATTTGTAAAAAACAAAACAAACAAAAAAATAAATTTAAATTTATATGCCTTTTTTATGATTGTCTATTGTTCTTGTTGTTATTCACTGTTGTCATCATTCTTTGTTGAAATCAGGTCTCTCTTGTAAACAAGTCCCTGAGGCTCAATGGGATTAGCCTGTATAAATAAAGGTTGAATGAAAAACAAAGTTATAAAGTTTGATCAAGATTAGTTTTTTCTTTGTAAGTCATTTACACAACCCTGAAAACATTAATATAGGCGTTTATACCACATAATATTAAATCTTCAAACATTTAATGAACATTTCCCACAAGTAGCCGTAGCTGAAACTCATTTAAACACAAATTTTGAGTTTCTGTCACTGATTTTATTGCTCTATTGTCATTTTGAGCAGCTTGGGTATCCATAAAAAAAAATCCTAGAACAGCCTCCCAGAAGAAACTTTTCTCTCCCACCCAGAAAAAAAAGAATTAGTTACCATTTCAATGGCAGGAAGGCCTGAGCCATTGCTAGCTCTCAAGTGTTGTGTGAAAGGGAATAGCTGTAAAATATATTGATGCTGAGCCCCTCTCCATTATCAGGCCGCAGCGCGTGAACAATCCTCGGCCTGCAGAAGACACGGGGCCACTGCATGGCCAATCTGACACAATCAGGGTGAAACGGGCCAGAAAATACCATTCTCTCCCATTCTCCTCTCTCAATCGGGGGCTTGAAAACTATGCAGAATGACTGACAGAAAAGAGTGCGTGTGTGTGTGAGCGCGCGCGCGTGGGGGGCAATTAGCGTCTCAGAGAAAGCCATCAGCTCTGCACAGGCTCTTCTTCACTGTTGCTCTCTGACTGTTTTTCCGCGCAGAAAGCAGTGAAATTGCAGATGTGAGCTTCTTGAAAAGGAATGCATTCGCCAAGCCCCCCCCCCCCCCCCCCCCCACTTGTGTTTTGCCAAAAGAAGCCTGAGGATGGGTGGCGCGGGGTTGTGTGTGTGTGTGTGTGTGTGTGTGTGTGTGTAGTGGAGGGGGACCACACAGGAAAATTATAAACACTTCTCTTCCAAGTTTGTCCTCGTCATATTCTGGATCTGAGCGCACAGAGCAGTTCCTGCTGCAGGCCTGGATTGGAAGTGAATTTTAAATGAGAGAAGTGGGGGAGGGAGAGGAAAAAGGATGGGGGTACTCCCCCCCCCTTTTTTTTTTCTATCTTTTTTTTTTTTTTACAAAGAGGGAGGGGTGTTGTGGGGGAAATGCTCGGCGGACCGTGAAGCATAACAGCCAGAAGCAGGACAAAGACGCGCAAAACTGGGACAGACAGACTGCAGCGGAGACAAAGTCTTCTCCTAACTGGAAGGGAATAAAAGAGACAAACTTTGGATGGAAGTTAAAATAAAGAGTTGAAACCACTAAATAGATGCGTTTAAGTGCGAGATCTGGTCAACCTCGGAGCAGGCTGCGCGTTTTGGAGAGTTGGAGTGGACGCGCTTCCGGAGATGACTTTCTTTCTTCTTGGTGATTTTCCTGAGTCAGATCCTGACTTCCGACAGGAGGCAACAGACTTGGTGACACTGGGATCTCCTCTGTGAGCTCCAGTCTGTTTTACGCATCTTGACTCGCCCCTAAATGTTCTTGTCACCGACCTGAAACTTTCCGAGCCAAGAAGCATGAGATGTGGGCGCGCTTCGCTGGCTCTCCTCCTCCCCTGGCTGCTGCTGCCGCTGCTGGGCACAAGCTTGGACGCCCAGCTCATCTGCTGGCAAGCGCTCTTCCGGTGCCACGGCGAGCCCGAGTGCGAGCTCGCCTACAACCAGTACCTGGCGGCGTGCGAGGGGAACCTCCGGGGGACCAGGAGGCAGTGTCCGAGCCACTGCATCAACGCGCTCATCAGGCTGAACAGCACGCGCAGCGGGCCCGACCTGGAGACGTGCGACTGCGCCAAGGACCAGGACTGCCACAGCTCCAAGCGGGCCATCGAGCCGTGCCTGCCCCGCAGACACCCGAGCGACGCCGGGGGCATCGGCTGCATGGAGGCCCGCCAGCGCTGCGAGGAGGACAGCGGCTGCCACACCTCCCTCACCGCCTACCTGTCACACTGCGGACAGCTGTTCAACGGCAGGAAGTGCTCGTCCAAATGCAAAGCCACCATCCAGCAGATGCTGTTCATCCCGAACGGCATGCTGCTGAACCGCTGCGTGTGCGACGGCGAGGAGAGGCCCTTCTGTGAAGTGGTCAAGGAGAACATGAGCAAACTGTGCTCCATGGGAGACCACAGCGTCTCGGACCAGCCTGAGCTCGATGACTTCTATGAGGATGAGGACTATGATCCCAGCAGGGAGGAGGGTTACACCGAGAGTTGCTCTGATTCCCACAGGTTGTCCAGCTGCATGGTGCTCCTGCTCCTCGGGGTTTTATTCTGAAAGGATGTATGAATGAACACCTGGGAGCAGCCCCAAAATGTTTAGAGATAGATGCACCAACCTTCTCCTCTCTCACTGCTGAGCCCGGCTTTCTCACTTTTTTGAGACAGAGGGTAGTGCAATGGTTAGTGCTGACTCTGCACAGGCAGTTTGCTCAGTGTTTTCTCCAGGAATCCACAGAAGCAGAGAGCAGCTCCTCTGCTCCCGACTGCAGCAGAAACCTCTTCAGGTGACAGGAAGTGAGCTGAACCACACTCATTTCGTGTGCCTGCTCGTGTTTATTTGGTTTGATGTCTGTGCTACTTAAAAGCGTGGCTTTATTAAGACTTTAGGCAAACATCGGACTCATCCAGCCTCTGTTTGCTCTGCTCTCCATTTCAGAGGCCTCAGCATTGTTGCCGTAACCACACTTCAAATATTTGTGGGGAAAACAGTCCCGAGGACAGGCGAGGGTGTGGGATGGAGTACTTAAAATGAACTGAAGCGCCTCTCTAGCTGTTCTGTTCCCCTCCCCCACCGGGGACTGTTTTATTGGACTTTTCCTGAGACCACCACCCTAATCCCACCCCTCGTCTTCCTCTCTACAGCTTCCCCCCCCCCCCCCCCCCCCCCTTAAAAGCCTTTAAAGACCCCTAGCTTTATGTTGCTTTCACACTTGCCACAACACTTTCAGGAGAACCTGTCAGCTGCTGGTGTGGATGGATCCACATTTCATACCTGCTCTGACTCAACTGTTTCCTTTAGTGACAGCACAGTTTGTGTAGAAGAAGAAAAGGGGTTACTTGCCTTAAAACCCGTGCCTTGAAATGTTTTACTGTGCATTTTGAGATTAAGTGAGTTAAGAGTATTAATGTTAATAGTTAACTATTTGAATGTCTGCATCACCAGTTCATTGTGTCAGACCAGCATCCTTCCAGTCTGATCTCATTCTCGCTCCATAACCAGGTCAACAACAACAACAAGAAAAAAACAAATGTTATTTGTCACTTGAACTGAAGTCTTGAATAAAGCTGTTTATTGTTAAATTATGAAGCTATAGAATATGAAGTATGTGTTTTACAATCATATGCAGTAAAAGTAGTGCGTAAATGTGTTTTATGTAGCTCAGTTTTGGCCCACTAAAGCAGTTTTCTGTTTTTGGTCTCTTTTGTAGAAAAGCAGCAGCTACATGACAGAGACACTTCTAAATGGGTTTTACAATAAAATGTTTATGATCTATATAATTGTCGTTATGTGATTTATTGACAATTTAACGATGAAAACGTAGAAGTCTGTGTGACCTTTTCTTTAAAACTTGAGCTGTTATTTAACCGTCTGTTTATTAGTCAATTACACCTCCTTTATATCCAGTTTAGTTTTCAAAGCTACAACTACACCATCTCCGAATATTTCAGCCTGATGGCTTTGTTCCAGTAATACTTTAAAGAACCCAATATTTGCGTAAACCGTGTGATAATTCTTTGTAAAGAATACTGCATACAGTACAAGACTTTTTTTTACAATATTCATTCAACCTTTATTTATACAGGTTAGTCCCATTGAGCCTCGGGGACTCATTTACAAGAGAGACCTGAATCAAGAATGATGACAACAGTGGACAAACGACAACAATAGACAATCATAAAGGATGCATACATTTATTATTATTATTTTTTTTAACAAATGAAAATAAAATGGTAATTAAAAGGAAAAGTAGCAAAGAAACAGCTAGATTGTAAGGCGGAGTAGAATACTAAAAACAGGAACATGTCTGCATTGGTTTTACAAACCGGATTCCAAAAAAGTTGGGACACTAAACAAATTGTAAATAAAAACTGAATGCAATGATGTGGAGGTGCCAACATCTAATATTTTATTCAGAATAGAACACAAATCACAGATCAAAAGTTTAAACTGAGAGAATGTATCATTTTAAGGGAAAAATCTGTTGTTTCCAAATTTCATGACGTCAACAAATCCCAAAAAAGTTGGGACAAGTCCATTTTTACCACTGTGTGGCATCCCCCCTTCTTCTTACAACACTCAACAGACGTCTGGGGACAGAGGAGACCAGTTTCTCAAGTTTAGAAATAGGAATGCTCTCCCATTCATGTCTAATACAGGCCTCTAACTGTTCAATCGTCTTGGGCCTTCTTTGTCGCACCTTCCTCTTTATGATGCACCAAATGTTCTCTATAGGTGAAAGATCTGGACTGCAGGCTGGCCATTTCAGTACCTGGATCCTTCTCCTACGTAGCCATGATGTTGTGATTGCTGCAGAATGTGGTCTGGCATTATCGTGTTGAAAAATGCAGGGTCTTCCCTGAAAGAGATGACGTCTAGATGGGAGCATATGTTGTTCTAGAACCTGAACATAGTTCTCTGCATTAATGGTGCCTTTCCAGACATGCAAGCTGCCCATGCCACAAGCGCTCATGCAACCCCATACCATCAGTGATGCAGGCTTCTGAACGGAGCATTGATAACAACTTGGACTATCCTTGTCCTCTCTGGTCCGGATGACATGGCATCCATTGTTCCATAAAGAACTTCAAATCGTGACTCATCTGACCACAGAACAGTCTTATATTTTGCCACACTCCATTTTAAATGACCCCTGGCCCAGTGCAAACGTCTGAGCTTATGGAGCTTGCTTAGAAATGGCTTCCTCTTTGTACTGTAGAGTTTCAGCTGGCAACGGTGGATGGCACGGTGGATTGTGTTCACTGACAATGCTGTCTGGAAGTATTCCTGAGACCATTCTGTTATTTCCTTGACTGGCATTCCTGTTTGAGGTGCAGTGACGTTTAAGGGCCCGGAGATCACGAGCATCCAGTAGAGTTTTACGGCCTTGACCCTTACGCACAGCGATTGTTCCAGATTCTCTGAATCTTTTGATGATGTTATGCACGGTTGATGATGTTAACTTCAAAGTCTTTGCTATTTTACGCTGGGTAACACCATTCTGGTATTGCTGCACTCTTTCTGCGCAACAATGGTGGAATTGGTGATCCTCTTACCATCTTGGCTTCTGAGAGACACTGACACTCTGAGAAGCTCTTTTTATACCCAGTCATGTTGTCAATTGACCTAATTAGTGTTAATTGGTTTTCCAGCTGTTCGTTATTCTCAATTTCCTTTTTCCAACCACTTATTGCTACTTGTCCCAACTTTTTTGGGGATTTGTTGACAATGTGAAATTTTGAATCAACATATTTTTCCTTTAAAATGTTACATTTACTCAGATTAAACTTTTGATCTGTCATCTATGTTATATTACGAACACAATATTGACATTTGCCATCTCCACATCATTGCATTTAGTTTTTATTCACAATTTGTTTAGTGTCCCAACTTTTTTGGAATCCGGTTTGTATATAGTAGTATAGTATAGTAATATAGTATCCTAATATACTGTGTTTTTTGGCCTATAAGTTGCGGGGGGGTTACATAATTTGCATGTCCTGCAACTTATAGGTCGAATTAATGTATTTTTGGACACCCCCCCCCCCCCAATATTTATAAACCATTTTTTGGCTGAGATGACTGTTTTCATTCATTATGACTGAAAATAAAGAGCAGTACCACTTTCAGCCACTTGATGGCAGCAGAGTAGTAGTAGCAGCAAGGCATGCCGTTGTATCATGTAATAGATAAACGTGGGTATAATGACAAACTCAAAAAAGTTCAAGACAAAAACAACTCGACTTTCCATCCATCCATTATCTTTACCCGCTTATTCCATTTTGGGTCACGGGGGTCGCTGGTGCCCATGTCCAGCAATCACTGTGCGAGGGGCGGGATACACCCTGGATGGGTCACAAGTCCATTACAGGGCCACATAGAGACAAACGAGACAAACAACCGTTCACTCTTTCACTCACACCTAGGGACAATTTAGAGTTACCAATCAGCCTAACATGCATGTTTTTGGTCTGTGGGAGAAAACCGGAGTACCCGGAGAAAACCCACGCATGCACGGAGAGAACATGCAAACTCCACCCAGAAAGGCCCCTGGACCGGGTTTGAACCAAGGACCTGCTCGCTGAGAGGCAGCAGCTCTACCAGTTGCGCCACCGTGCTGCCCACAACTTGACTTTATTTATTATAATTTACTTTATACTTTATTGTTTTTGTCTTGAACTTTTTTGAATTTACCATGTCCTGGATGACTGAGAATCTTCACCAGCTATTAATGACACAATTGGCTTGCCTTAAAGGCAAACCTACATTCTGCTCACTGTTGGGAGCAAGTTGAACCAGCTGCACCGCCCTGACAAAATGCAGCTAATTTGACCATTAAAGTGCATTTATTAAGTAAAAGTTCAACTGAGACACACCTTTACTATAATTTCGAGAAACCACATAATTGTTTAGGTGCTTTTCTTGTTAAATTTCGAAGAAATGAGCAGCGTTCCTCCTTATTTTTTTCTTCCCTCTGTGCGCTCCCGGAGCACCAAGGCAGCAAAACTATTTTTGAAATTCAGCAAATTTGATCATTAAAGTGCATTTTTTAAAGGAATAGTTCAACTGAGCCACACCTTTGCTATAATGTCAAGCAAACAATATTTTATAGGTGTTTATCTTGTTAAATTTGCACAGCGACTCGTCGTGTGCACACGTTTACTTCCGCGTATTGGCTTTTGAAATACAACAGATTTGACCATCAAAGTGCATTTATTAAGCAAAAGATAGACTCCAACACACATTTACTATAATTTCCAGCAAACAAGTAATTGTTTTTAAGTGTTAATCTGGTTAAATTCTTGTTAAAGTCCTCCCGTGCATGCTCCCGCGGCCGCCATTTGGCAGCTCATCGATTTTTGGCACATCGGCCCACTTTTCCAGGTTGTCAGTGGTGACGCGAAACAAACGCGACGCGTCAGCAGTGAGGCATAATAAATGTAACGTATATGGTGAAGCGACATATTTATGGATTTTCCCACTTTTTTAGACATACTTGGACTGATGCTACTTAAAGGGCGGTGTGACGTGTACGGCGGAAAATATAGCAGTATTTTTTATTTATTTAGAAATTTATTCATTCCATTAAAAACAAAATAACTATATACGATAGAAAACAAAACAAAAAATATATATACATATATACATGTATATATATATATATATATATATATATATATATATATATATATATATATACACACACACAATCAAAAAATAAAATGAAAGGCAGCAGAAGAAGAATAAATCTTATAATATCAGCCCCTTTTTTCCCACAATATATTCAAACAAAAGTAATTTACAAACTAATTAGTAATAGTCTTTAATCAGTCTTTATTCAAGTGTTTATTTCCAAACCCAAGACCTTGGTGCAATTTATGATTTACAGTTAGTTACCACTGGTTGGCTGCAGGATCAATTCTCGGCTGTGGCCTTTTCCTATGGAGTCTACATGTCTTCGTCGTGCGTGTGGGTTTCCTTCCACAGTACACAAACGTATGTTAGGGTAATTTGCTACTCTAAGCTACAAGGTGGGAGTGTAAATGCTTGTATCAGGGTTGATCTTTGTCTCCATGTGGCCCTGCAATGGACTGGGAATCTTTCCACATGTACAGAAGAACGTATTCTTGTTAAATGTCATTCAGCATTTCCACTATAAGCGCTGCATGTGGGAGCGCTTTCTCTGTCTAATACTTAAGGGATTAGTGCGGTGTAATTGAAACCTGGTGAGGAATTTTAAGTGTCTCATTGCTCAAACTCTGTTCCTTGAAAACAAATGATGCTATCAAGACTGAGAGAGAAGACAGAGAGGGGAAAAAACTTAAGTTGTGATTTAAAGCATTTGAGCTTTTCTTTTTACATATTTGCTTTACAGTCTTTACAAAAGGCTTGACTGGTTATGACCTGCTTCAAAAGCAAGCAACCATTTGGGCCTTGTTTCCACACTTAACTAAGGTATTTATAAGTCATTAACAAATTGTAAAAAGAGTCTTTTGGCACTGGCGCTCCGTGTGAGCTGCCCACCTGCTCTGTAGTCGCTGCCCAAATGGTACGAATGTAAAACTGGCAAGAGCAGAGAATTAATGAGCACGTTGAGCAAATATAAGTTTGTTAGTTAATGAGCAGCAGATTCTTACACCTTTAGGTCCTGAGCAAACATCGGAAAATCCAACAGATTTTCTTTGTTTCATTCACTTAATTTCTTCAGAACGTCTAATTTCAGAGATTGACAAAAGAGAGGTGTGTGTGTGTGTGTATAGAGGTTTTTTTCTTCTCAGGCAGGAAAAAAAAAATCTGATAGGAATTTTTTTCGCCTCCAACATGTGTCCAGTTAACCACTGTTTTTGTCTGTCCAAACAGGTCTCACTTGGAAATGAGTCTTTGAGGCTCAATGTGATTTATCTGTTTAAACAAAGGTTGAATGTGTGTGTGTGTGGGGGGGGGGGGGGGGGGGGGGGGGGGGGGAAGGGGGGGGTTACAACTAAAGTGCAACGTTTTTCTTGTGTTTTTGCCTCAAGTCCAGTCCTTCTTAATCACAGCCATGCATCAGTTTCTCCAAAACAACCAGCCTACCACCCCCTTCCTCTAATGCTTCTTGCCCCCCCTCCATTCACCCAATTCTGGGAGCAGAGTCAAAACAAACATGAGCAGAGAAGCCTTGGGGAGTTGAGTGTTTTGAGTGGGGTTGGGGGTTACAGAGGCAGCAGCATGCTGGAGCCCATTTTCTAAATTATCTTTATTCAACATTTCTTTGAAACAACCCTCAGCCCCACACTTTTGGCTTTAAAGTGGGGGTGACCCTGGGGGATTTTAGAGTTCTTGTCTCTTTTAGGTACACAATGTTCCATTTATGATAACCATTAGACTTGAGTAAATGGCTGGCCTGCTCCCTGCATGGGGGGATCCTGGAGTCAAGGGATTCCAGCCTATTTGGGTACGACACACAGGGACACCTCTTTACTGGAGATAGACAGCAGTACCTGTCCAAGCAAAAGGGAAGTGGGACTCTGGACATTTTTGGACATCCAGCAAAATGGAGGGCAATCTGAGCCATTAGCCATAAGGCTGTGATTCAGAGGAAAAGCTGGGTGAATTTTTGGAGAATGGAGCGGCGGCGGGTTTAGTTTTCCATCTCAGAACCTCCATCTCTGGACTGCGTTACTGGAAGGGTGTTCAAAACACTTTTTAGGAGCAATATAAATTGGCAGGACTCCCAGAAACAAGCAACAAAGAAATCACAAGGGTCACAAATGTAGCCAAAGTTTTCCTGGCAGTAATGTGCTCGTGCTGTAATTAAAGCAAAGAAGCTGAGCCAAATGTACGTGCACCAGCAGCCACACATGACCCGATGATCCTCTGTCGTGAAGCTTCAAGGTTCAGGACTGAGCTGCTGTCGGTTTTACTGGGCAAAAATGAATCTTGTGCACCTGGCATGACAGACAAATATGCTTGAATTTTTACTAGTTTTAGTTTTTGAGACACACAAATTCAAAGTGGTAATCTGAATTGAAGGATTTGTAACAAATAATAATAAAAAGAAACAATAATTTTAAGTCCAAAGTTCTCTTGAAGTGTACCAAGATCAACAAACCCAAGATTTCCCATCATACAGACCAGCTGACTTCTCTGACATATGTGTGTAACAGGTGTGCAACATTTGTAAGATCTTTCCCAAGGAGACATGAGGTTGTTGTTGCTGCCATATTTGTTTTAACCAGGAACCAAACCTGACATAGGACACAGAAAACCTCCAATCATCAGTGTATTAATGATCAAATGAGTAACAGTGAAGTGAAAAGTTAAACCACCACTTCAGTGTTCCACACATATGGACATGATCAATTTAACGATTTTAAACTTTTATGTAACAAACGTGCAAGTCCTTACATCACTGGTTTCCTGCACCAGAGCAGTGATGTAATAATTGTAGAGGACTGTTGACTTTTGTTGCCACGAAGAATTTGCTTTTGAATGTGCTCTTGGTTGAAAACCAGATAATTCCATAATCTGAACAGGAAACGAGTGACAGTCTATTTGGATTGTTCGTTCATCTTCTCACATGCACAATTTGTAGGAGTCAGAGTTGTTCAATGACTTTAATTTCTGCTAGTTGGTTTGATGGTCTCCATATATTTCAACTTTAGTGTTGCATTGTGTTTTTATTTTCCAGGACATCCCACTGAGTAAATGAATAAATATCACAGATAAAATTAATAACTGATTCAAGTTATACCTCTGCTTGTGCCTATGTCTTGCAGCATGGGAGAGACTTTCTGTGCCTGTTGTCCCGACAAACAAATTACCAGTAGGGCTATTCAACAAAACTGCACAGGGGGCCACAGTTTCTGAAAGCCAGCAGCTCAGCCGCCAGACATCCAGCAATTAAAGTAAATAATATAGTAAACAATTATAGTAAATACACCAAGTTTTATAATGATCTGTTACTTTTGACATTTGTTTGTTTTATTGCATTGAATCATGAATGCAATAAGCAGAACCCAAAACCCACACGCAGAACCCCCCACCAAAAAAAATTTAATGAACGAATTGGTGGGCCAGACTAAAGTCACCCACAGGCAGGAAGTGGCCCACGGGCCGCCAGCTGAAAAGCCCCGATGAGACTAAAATACAAGTGATCACTTTGTGCTGCTGAAAAAGAAACAACTCACATTTCAAGAGATGTCAATTTTATTTTTCATTAAAATTGTCATGTAAATCATTTTCTTTAATAAATAATTATAAAACAACAGTTTGGAAATTAAAAAAAAAATCTAACTACTGAAATGTAAATTTATTACTGTACACTTTTCTAATTTGACTCCCATCCCACATATTTTCCCCCAAGTTGCCTTAAAAAAATCTGTTCCCAAAGTAAACGTCCCTTTTTTTAAGCACTTTGCCGTCTTGAAATTTAAACAGTGAAGACACAACAGTGAGAGTTAACAGCACGCCACTCAGTGGCTTTTTACAGTGCAGCGGACGCCCAGCTCTCAATGGTTTTCATGAGCGTGTTAAACCTGGTTTCGTTTAAACACAGAACCAAATGTAAAGCAAATGCAGGACCAGTGTAAACAAGGCCGAACCTGCAGCTCCAGTCAGGACTCCCATCAGCAGAGAGGGTAAAGGCAGTGGAGAGGCGGTGACTGGTGAAGCAGTATATACATGTTTGCACAGAGCCAGTACAAGTTTGAGCTTTCCAAACGTTAAAACTCAGATTTCAGCAGTTTTTAGGTGTACTGAGGAACTTTTGAATATCAGTCTCAGTTTAACTGATTTACCATGACAGTGTGGTTTTGTCATTCAAACTGTCCTTCATTAACATATCAATGAAGGAGGGGGTCCAGGCTACAACAACGCAGAAGAAAACAGAAGGTGACTTTCACATTCGGCGGTGTGCAAATCCCAAACTCAAGAACTACTTTCAGCATTTTACAAAACCTACTCATCCCTGAAAAACACAACAAGCTCAAGTCCTTTACCTGCTAATTCATCTGGTGGGAGAACTTTCCAGCAACAGCCAAAAAGTGGCCACGTGTGGCTGGCGAGTGTCACATCCCACCCAGATAGTGTACTCAGTTGGTTAGGATGTGGTGGGACTTAGCCCCCGCAGAGGCCTGGTGTGGTGAGGGATCTGAACCTGAACACTGACGGACAGTCCGTGGGGCATTCCAACGTTTCACAGCTGCCGCCCCGCTCACTGCAAACAGCAAGCTAAACACACACAGAGAGGACTCGAGTTAGTTTTCAACAATATAACACACTCCAAATTATGAGGCCATTTGTCTTTATGGGCTCAGACACGTTTGTCTTACTCCAAGATGAATGCTATTTTTTTAAAGTTTAACAAATTATGTTGAAATCACTTTAGCTACATGATTACACATAAATAAGTTTTTAACCTCAATATTCTGCAAATTATTAATTCCTGTACTTTGGGCATAAAACATTTAGATTTTATAAGCAATCTGAATATATTTACAGAGTTTGACTGTGCTCCTAGCTACGAACTTACTAAAGTGCTGCAGATATCACAGATTTTTATACACAGGGCAGCCATGTTGCATGTTGTGGTCAGAAAAAGAAAATTACATTTAGTTCCAACTAGGGATACATGATATTGAATTTTTGGCCGATATTCGATACGCCAATATGTTTAAACTTATTTGGCCGATAACCGATACCAATACCAATATTTTTTCCCCCTATACCTACTTACAGAGACTACATAGCTTTCTCTGCTGTGGAATTAAAGTACTACATTATTCTGCATGGTCTTTGTCAGTTTGACCTGTTACCAAATGCAGATGCCAAAAACGGGACTGAAATTGATGTAACACGTCAACTTGGATTATGTTTAATGTCAAATTTATTCATGACATTTACTCTAACACAATGACAACACTTGAACAGTGCAAATTTGTAAATTTTCATAAATCTAAACTCAACCTGTTCACAAGCGACAAGTGAAAAGCACATGAGTAGTAGTGCATTAACAGATATACTTGACAGTTTTTCTTAAATTAGAAAAATAACTTAAAACAGAAGCCTTTTATATCATTGAGCTATTTTGATGGAATGGTCGATGTCCGATATTTAACTTTATTGCGATCATTGGGGCCCTGTGATGGACTTGCGACCCGTCCAGGGTGTACCCCGCCCCTCGCACAGTGATTGCTGGACATGGGCACCGGCGACCCCCGTGACCCAAAATGGAATAAGCGGATAAAGATAATGAATGGATGGATGCGATCATTGGCCGATACGATACAGATATCATGCCGATAATACCGTGCATCCCTAGTTCTAAGTCTACTTTTCTTTTAGTTTTTGCCTTGAAACACAAACTTGGAAATTCTGATTTTATTCGGTCAAGAGAAAATTATTGGATAAAATTATCGGAAGTGTCCAAATTATAGTAGAATGTATCTTTAATAAAATATTAATATGTCTTGCTGCCATGAAAAGTGGGTGATCTTGTAATTGCACATGTGTGTTTGTTTGCCTGTATGAAAGCAACATTTTCATGAACCACTACATGGATTTTTATGAAACTCAGTGGAATCATTAAATGTTTTTACACTTATTAATTTTTAGTCAACCCAATTTAAGATGGCTGCCACAGCTAATCAGGCCTCACACAAAAATAGCAATACATTTGTCAATTTAATATGTATTGAGCAACAATGTGTTGTGGTGGTAGCTGGGAGTCATCTCCATCACAAAACTTGAGAGCTATCAAATCACACAAAACTGATGTTTAAAAGTGGCATGTTGCTTTCAATCACAAGATTTGCTTTCTTAAAACAAGTACGGGCATATAGAGTTACATTTCAGAAAAATCCTTCTGAACATGTCCCTGAGTAAGTTATGGCTACAACTGATAATATTCATGACAGATGATTGTTATTTACAGTAGCACCTCTGACACAAACGTCCAGTTTGGCTGAGAGCAGTGTGACTCTGCTCCTTCAGATTTTTAACATTTAAATTAAAACTCTAAAACTATCAAGAAAAGCAACTCAAATCATACTTCACCAAAAATGTTGTATGTTACAGACAAAAAAGAAAGAAAGAAATCCGAAGATGTGTTTGTGCGTCACTTTAAAATGTTCCAACCCAGGTTTTGCATATACAACTAAACTATGTTGTGTTCGTGTGGTAATAACTTCTGTAAATATTTCCTTTTCATATGAACTTTCATCTTGATTTTCAAACTTTTTTCACAACGTAACAATAATCTTGATGTTACAGTTTTTCATTGTTTTAGGCCATTTACTTAAAATACAACTACACTGAAAATGTACTGGAACCGCCTGCACTTTTAAAAAGAACTAACCATGAAGACATCTTTCATTTGTTGCTGCAAATATTGAACATCTGAGATGTATTTCTCAGATACATTTTTAGTATTACCCATCATTCAAAGTAAGCATGTGGCTATAGAAATGTCTGCACCTGGGATTTTGTGTCTGCGCCCCTTCAGGTCCTTGCATGTGAAATCAATTTAAAGGCCTGTGAGTGTTTGGTGCTTTAAAGCAGGGGGGCTCGTAAACGAAATACAAAAACGCTACCTGCAGCTTAGCCTGAAACGTAAACTCTTACGGTTACACTGCGACGATTCTCAGCGTTTTGTTGCTAACTTTTGCACAGTCTACGGTCACCAGACAGGCTTGGGCGTTGCTGCGACCCACTCTGAAACAGCTGCTGTTGGATCGGTGCCAGCTGGAGTGGCTGACTGCAGCGCGGTTTTATTAAAACAACTGCAGCAGGGTAAAAAGCCACATTCTTCATGAAAGTTGAGCAGCCTCAGGAGTTGTTGGTTCCCTTCAACCCCACCCCCCCAAAATTCATAATTCCCCAGGAATTTCTTGCTGAGAACAGGATATTGTCTGGGTTTTAGGTATCCACCAACCATCTTGGAGTTAAGCCCAGAAAATACTCTGAATTAGGACTTTGTGTGTAGATGTTACCAGTGGGAGAAATTCAGGGATATTAAATCACATCTTAATGTTAATGATACGTTTCTGTTTATACTGCACAGGCCCAATGTGTACTGATATGCACAGAACATGCAGTCACAGAGAGGAATTATCAAGTGCATGTGTCAGCTGTTGTAATTGCTGGTGTTTGTGTTTTAAGCGTCACTCTTTCCTTGCCTATGTCCAACTTTTACAAGGTAGGCTTTATGTGAGGACATAGTTGTGCAAAAACAACATCGAAGAGACTGGAAGCTCTGCAGGGTGGCCAACACAGCAAGAGGATGGCTCAGACTTTACCCGTGGAAAAACCTTCAATGAAAGGACATTTCATCGCAACTTTTGGCCATCTGATACTCCCTTAACCACCAACCACATTCCTCCACCAGCCCTCCATGTTGTTACTTTTTAAAATGACTAAAAGGGTTTTAATACCACATGATCGTGGCCAAAGAAATGGTTTACTCAACACAGCAGGGAGACTCACAGCTTCTGACAGAATCTGTTAGAGACTCTCGGTCCAGAGACACGTCCATCTGAGTCTCCTGCATCTGAAACATGAACATATGCAAAATATGACAAATATTTCAGGATACAAATCATTTACTTTTGTCTAAAATGATGGCACATGTTATTCCATTCTACATTCTTCTATCAAACTTTTCATGCAGTTTGAGGTTGTAGATGATTACTTTAAGAGCTCAATTTGTCTTACCTTAATATGCTTCTTGAGGTATTCAGCTCTGGTCATGAGGCTTTTTATCTGTTCAGAGACATAAATGTAATTTAACAATCCAAGAAAATGTTTATTATAGTCTAAAAATGTGTGAAATATCTAATTTCATTGTTTATTTTAGTTGTGTAGGTGTTTATATTGGTGGTTTTAGGTTTTTTTCCTTCATTGTTTTTAAAGGTCTAACCAGGAACTGTGTGTAAATTAGCTTCTTTTTTTTAGAAGGCCTGGTACTGTATGTACAACAGCTGCACTGATTGAACCAGTAACATTGTTTCTATGTGCTGTCCTTGATTTAAATAAAATAAATAAAAACATTATAATTTTATTAGGAAAGCAGGTTCACTGTAGCCCGCAGAGGGAACCGGAGTCTGTTTACAAAAGATTAAATCAAAGCGTAAAATCAAATGATCATGTTTGTTCAATACCACCAGCATACATGGCACACTGATGAGGTAATATAGTTATATATGTGGGGGTAAATTAAGTCCAGCCATCTGTGATGCTACAGTCTTAAGCAGCTTTCTGTGCAGGAGCAGAAGCTAAATATGGGTCCTCACCCCATAACTGAGGTTTTGTCATCATATCAGCTGGACACACTGCTGAGTCCTTGGTAGTATAGTAGTCAACTGTGCTTCTGGATGCTGCTTTCTGCCAAAATTCATAGAACAGAAATGGAAGGAGAAAACAACATGCAGACAACAGCGTGGTCCGGCCTGGTTCAGGTTGCCGCAGTGCTGGTCCGGACACGGGCCGAGGTGGTGGACGACATCCTGACCAGCCTTGCAGGCAGAGTGTCCTTCCTAGAGCGGGAGCATGCGCACAACAACCTGGAAGGGGTGGTGGGCTTTGTCATGCTGCAGAGTAGGTCAGCCGAACCGGAACCGAGCCCACAACTCCTTGTCTGCAGAGCTGGTGAGTACCCATATAAAATTTTGCAGTACTGTACAGTGCATATACCTATGCATATGTACTGTACCTCACAAGACACATGGAGCATGTGGAGGGGCATTAAGTTCATAATAGATTATAAAGGCAGGAGCGAACAATGCCCCAAAGACCCATCTCTGCTTGATGTCCTCAACAAGTTCTATGCACGCTTTGAAGACCTGAACAGACTACCTAGCACCAGATTCACCTCACCACTGGATAAAGAGCTTCTCAGCATGACCTCAGCAGAAGTAAGGAGTACTTTCAGGAGGATCAACTCTCACAAGGCAACTGGCCCAGACAACATCCCCAGGAAAGTGTTGAAAGAATGTGCCGATCAGCTCTGCGAGGTGCTGGCAGACATCTTTAACACCTCACTTACCCTGGTGACAGTTCCCGCTTGCCTGAAGGCGGCCACCATCATCCTAGTCCCAAAAAGCTCTACAGCGACTGGTTTGAATGTCTATCGGCCAGTGGCCCTCACCCCGATAGTCGCTAAATGCTTCGAAAAACTTGTCATGGCTCACAAAAACAACCTCAAACAACCATCAACATCAACGAGGACCCTCATCAGTATGCATACCACGAGAACCGATCAACAGAGGATGCCATCTCCTCTGTGTTGCACACTGCGCTCTACCACCTGGAGCAGAAAGACTCTTACGTCCATATGCTCTTTGTGGACTTCACATTCGCCTTCAACACCATGACCCCCAAAACCCTGATGGACAAACTACTCACACTAGGACTAAGCCCCTCTATTTGCAACTGGGTCCTAGACTTCTTAACAAACAGACCACAGTCAGTGAGGATCCATAACTTCTCCTCCTCCACCATAACCCTCAGCACTGGCTCTCCTCGGGGATGTGTGCTGAGCCCCCTCCTGTTCACTCTGCTCACGTATGATTGTGCAGCTACCCATCCAAGCTGTCATATTGTAAAGTTTGCAGACAATACTGTGGTGGTGGGATGCATCACAAACAATGATGAGTCCATCTACAGGCAGGGGGTGGAACACCTACAGGGCTGGTGCAAAGAGAATAATATTCACATCAATGTCAAGAAGACAAAGGAGATGATTGTAGACTTCATAAGGAACAAACACACCTACACCCTCCTGAACATAAGAGGATTTGTGGTGGAAGTGGTCTCCAGCTACAAGTACTTGGGTGTACACATGAATGACAACCTCAGCTGGGGCAACATCACCACCAGCCTGATCAAGAAAGCTCATCAGAGACTCTACTTCCTCAGACGGCTGAGACGAGCTGGTCTGGGAAGCTCAGTCCTCACCTCCTTCTACATGTGTGCAGTGGAGAGCATCCTGTGCTCCAGCATCAACATGTGGCATGGAGGCTGCACAGCTGCAGAAAGAAAAGCTTTGCAGAGAGTGGTGAAGGCTGCACAGAAGACTATTGGAGTTCGTCTCCCCACCATCACATACATCTACACCTCCAGATGCAGGAAGAGGGCCATCTGCATCATGAAGGACCACACTCACCCAGCACACACAGTTTTTGCCCCACTCCCCTCAGGCAGGAGATTAAGGAGCATTAAGTGTAGAACCACTAGACTGAAGAACAGCTTCTACCCTGAGGCTGTTAGACTCATGAATCTCTAACCAGAATAATCACTGTGAAAAAATCACATCATGTTGCTGCTGATCTGTTTCATGTTGCTGCTGATCTGTTTCATGTTGATGTGTTCATGTGTGCTCATCTGCTCACACAGACTCATGTTCGTGCTGCTGTTCGACGTGATGTTTTTATGCTACTAGTGCTTAATGTATTATTTAGCTGATGTTTTTCTTAGTTCATATCTTAGCTCTTATTACTGTTTTTCTTTTACACTTTATTGTTGGATGTAACTGGGACCCGCGTACATAATCTCGTTCCACATGTACCACGAGATGCGAATGACAAATAAACCTCTCTGACTCTGATGTTGTTAAAATTACGTACGTTTAAGAGTTTAGAACATTCTTAAGAACATTGCAAGAGTGTGGGAAGTGTTTTTAAAATATAAACATACTGTAAATACTAAAATAAATATAACGTCCCTACTTTGAGGTTTTTCACCCATCACGGGGGTGTCTGGAATGTTACCCCTACGATAATCACATATCAGATATCATGATATTCTTTTTTTCTAGAGATAATTGAAGGCTCCCATATACTCGGATGGATCTCAATCCGCGGAGTGTTCCATGTGTACTGGATTAGACTCGAAGCAGATGCCCACAAGGCATGTCCGCGCAAAGATAAATTTTTACGACCATGTACACGTACTCGGTGTCGCACAATAAACTGCCCGGCGACCGACTGTTTTGTATGTGACACCAACGTATTAAATTCCTCTTCTTCATCCCTGATCTGGTTTAATGGCCTTTTCTTTTTTTTTTTTTTGCCAAGAGGCAAGCAAGCTCTTCCTCCTCGTCCGTTGATGCCATGACTGAAATGGTGAGAAATGAAGGAATTTGTCACGAGAGAATTAAAATCAGGTCCAGCGTGGCTGCAGGAGGGTCTGGAGATTTCCTGGTGAGCCGGTCTGATGTCTGTTTTATTGTTGTTGTTTTTTTAGAACTTTTTATTAACAACATATAAACACAGAACACCACTGCCGCCGGCTCTTTTGTTTTTTTTTCCGACCTGTCAATCAATCCAGTAGGCGTGTCAGCAAACGACCAATCGGCGACCTCAATTTGTCCCGAAGGTAAACGCCCCTTGCCTGCGGAGCTGGCTGCAACCATTCAAGGTGTATGCTCGAGTATGACGTCTCAACCGTCTGCTGACAGTGCGCGCAGTTTCCACACGACTCACAGTCCACCCGAACCTGTGGGAGCCTTGAGGGACTACTGTAATCTGATTTCATTGTACATATTACACTTCAAAACACTCTTTGCACAATGCGGCTCGCCCTGTTTTGTGTATGTGAGCAAAAATCCAAACCGCCAAAGTTAACAACTCTGTGGGGGGATAATGTAATGTGCAAATCATACATAATTTAAACCAAATGTTGACAATAAATAAATAAATAAGAATTCCCCAGAAGGCCATTTTAATTCAGTCAAGGGAATCAAAAGGTTCCAGATTAAACAGAAAAATGACAGTATACAGTCCTCATCCATCAGCGTTGTGAGAACGGTTCATACGGTAAATGTGAGCATAGTATCTGCTGTCATTAGAAGCATCGCTCTCTGTGACAATCAGTTTTTGTTTTGTAGCCGTGAATGTTCTTGACTGTACCCAAAACCTGCCCACGCCACCGTCACAACAAAGTGAGCCTTTTCAAGTCTAACTGGAGCAACATCTGAAGACTGTAATAACAGGAGGCCGACACTGATTACTTCCATAATGTCCATTTAAACATACAGGCAGTAGTTGTACATAATTATTTTGACCGCAGTTTGTTAGAATCTGGCTGTGACCCAAATCATCCGAGGCCACAGAACTTTAATCCCAACTCTTCGAATCGCCAAGGACAATGGATGTGGCTGAGGTCTACATGGGTGACCGACAAGATGAAACTATGAGATAACTTCCAGTTCTCATGAACATTCACTAGACTGTAAAACACATCAGTTCAAAACAAGCTGTGAGAAACCAACACAAACAACGGCCACTTTAAAACAAGAAAGTGTGCTCTGTAGTAAGATATGAAGGCACACAGAGGCCAGCCATGTGTTTGCTGTTTGGGCTTCTCACATACACACATGCTTTCAATTTAACCCCCGCAACCCCCCCTCCCCACGCTGCATTAGATTATTACAACCGCATCTGAATTTACTTAAGGCAAGCACCCATAAAACTTCAAACAGGGAGGTCCATGAGGCCCGCTCAGTGCCCAACCCCCTGCTTGGGGTTTGTTGGTAAAATTGTGTTGTCTTTTGTTGGTAAAGCTGCAAAATAAACAACACAAGTAAAAAACACCAAACAGACTTCTTGATTATTAATTGACAAATTCGGCTAAATCTTTAAAATGTATCAAACTAAATTACTGTTAAAGCAGTTGTGTTTCAAATCTCGCATGTATTCATTATTAATATCTATAGAAGGGTAAGTGCTGGGGCTCCGACTGTGTTCAACTTGATTTCATCTTTTCTGATTTATCACAAGCACACGTTTTATGGAAAAATAGAGCCTTTAAAGTTTTCTTCATTTTAAGTTTCAGATTTATTCAGTTATTTTCCTCTTTCAGTATTACTCGACCAAAAATTGTCCACATAATTAAAATACAAAGTTTTTGAAAAGCCTTTCCTGTATTTTTTTTACAGCAATGTTCCAGCTCAACCAGGCGTCTACTACAAGGTTGACTGCTGGAATGCTGAGCTGACGGATGCTCTTTTGACATATCTGTACAGTAATTCTCATTCACAGCAGTTTTTGGCTCGTTGATTACACGTCTGACAAAAGTCCTTCATTCCCGGTTACTAATTTTGACTGGGCAGCCAAATATAGGAAGTAAGTCGGTGGTTTATTCCTCTGCTGAAGACTGACAGATAGTGATGTGCCTCAGAGCAATTTAAATGCTTCAGAAAAAAAGAAAAATCTCAGTGACCTTTCCCAAATCTCTTCTTTTGCACAGTCTTTTCTCACAGAACTGCACATAGTTCTACTGGGATAACGACTACAGGAAACTTTACATTATTCCTAAACACTTGTTTTGTGTGTTTGAACCATACAACTGCAGCTCAAGGACCTGCTTCAGTAACAGATTCACTACAAACCATGTTGTCTGTCTATACAGAGGAATGGCCTCATAACTTTGTTCAACTCAATTCAGTTCAGTTTATTTATATAGCGCCAAGTCGCAACAGAAGTCATCACTGAACAGAAATATTCATATACAGTATATAAACGTAAAACATTTGATTGTTATATATGATGATTGTTTTGGACGGATGGGCCCTATTTGTATGTATGTATGTATGTATGTTTTATTTATTCATTTCATTTCATCCAAACAACAAATATAATACAATTTAAAGAAAAGAAAAAAGATATACAATCACAGAATGAGTTAAAAGCCTGTTAATGAGATTCCAACAGGAGGTTGGCTTGAAACACAGCAATGAAGGCTACTTATAGGACAGAACTGGTTGGAAGGCCGTAGACTGAGGAAGTCCTCTGGATGGGAGACAAAGAATTTCTCACTTAAAGAAACTGGTCATGACACGATGACCATTCTTGTTATCTAGCTGGATGATTTATATTTAAAAAAGTTTGTAAGCTCAAAGTAAGTTAATAACATTAATTATCTGAAGAAAAGACTGCTTTGAGTTTAACTTAATTGCAGACTCATCTTGAGCAAGCATGAAGGCAGTAGTGGAAAGGAAAAACTCCCTCATGAGGAAGAAACTTTTAGTAGAACCAGGCTCAGGACAAGCAGCCACCAGCTTCAACCAGCTGGGTTTGAGAGGAATAGATACACAATGGCAAGTCAAGAATCACATGTCAAGATAGAAATAGTAAAAAATGAAAACTTTTCAATTTTAACAAATAATTTAAGGAAATTGGGTCAATTTGTCCTCCAGTAGTCTGTCTATAGCAGCATAACAAGCCAACCTTAACTATAGGATTTATCAACAATCAATGGTAACTCCAGTTAAGACTCTGGCAGCAGCATTTTGGATCAACTGAAGACGTTTTAAAGAAATATTTGGACACCCAGATAATAAACCATTGTAATAGTCCAGTCTAGACGTGACAAATGCATGAACCAGTTTTTCTGCATCATAAGATGTTTCTAATTTTAGTGATATTACGCAGGTGGAAGAAGGCGGTCCTAGTAACGTTTTTAATGTGGGGGATAAAATACATGTCCTGATCAAAAATAACACCAAGATCTTTATCATTAGAACTCCAAAGAACTCCATAAAGCACGCCGACTTGTGTGAATTAAACTAAAGAATCAGGACACAACATTACCAGGGTGTATAGTTGTCCTTATGTGTGTTTTTATTAATGAAACAAGGTGATTTAAACAGATTTACTGATCCTAGTGTTGCTGCTTAAAGAAAGTAGTCCAATAAAAATCTATATGCTGCACATTTTAATAATATTATAATTTTTAATAAATTTAACACTTTTAGACCTAATCATTGTGAACAATTCAACTAGTGAGGCAACAAGAAACTGAATGTTTCAAGTTGACTTTAGGAAAAAAGTCTGAAAGTTTATTTTTTTCATATGTTGTACCTTAAGAGTGTAGCGTTAGATTCTCGCAGGATTCATGAAAAAGTCCCAAAATTAATAATCCTAGACTTCAAGCTAATTTTTGTGAATGAACCCCCAATGTTCTCACCAATCACCATCCTAAAGCTTTCTCATTTTTCATGATATGCTTTGTAAAATGGATGAAGCTCACTTGTAACTGATTAAATGAATAAAACTGCTGATAAAATCTTGGTTACGATAAATGTTTGAAGCTCTAACATTTTTTTTGTTTTACACTAGGAAAAAGGTGCAAGTCCATTCTGCAAACTTGGGAGCATATTATTATAGATTTAGCATGTAATCTTTATTATTATCCATTATTAAAGAAATCTTTGTGTCCCACAGATAAAAGATAAATATGACTACCAACTCTATTCTGGGCACATTTTGTAATTTTCACTCATTTCTGGGAGCGATAGGACTCTGGCTTCACCGGAGACATCCAGACTTTGTCTACCTTCAGGTGGATTATTATGGATGGTGAACTCTGTTATTTTTGGCTTCAACCCAAATCATACATGTGACTACCGGTACTGTAAGAAATAAGTAAAGGATCATGTGATGATTATGTGTGAGCCCACTGATTCTAGTGTGAGCAGGAACTTTTCCTCAGCTACTCACCTCGCTGTGGAGCAACTTTTTCCTGCAACCCTGGGGCTCGGCTGGCTCGCAGAGATAGAGAGAAAGGGAATAAAACAACACAAAAATAATGAAAAGAAAGGAGGAGCCTGTACCTAATCACACTGTTCAAGAAGCTACAAGATTGGATTCTGCTAGCGTGCAGACTGGGGGCTGGAGAGTGGAAATTGCTCTAATCTAGGTCATTGTTTTCACAGTCAGATGTGCTGGAGGGCAGAGCGAGAGAAGAGGAAGGCTCTGTGGCAATGAGGCACACTGGGAATCTGTGCAGCATAAAAGCTTTTGACTAAACAAAGAACCAATGTTTTCTCCCAACAGTCGCCAAGTTGGTATCTGCTATGCCACACAACACAGCTCCCTGTCAATGAAACAAGGCTGCATGGGATGGTTTTAGCTTTTAGCTAAACCAGAACACCACTACTGATCCACAAGTCAAACAGATGAGCTCCTATTCAAAACTCTGATTTAATCTTGCACTTTTTTTAATTTTGTATTTTTATACAGAACGCCTACAATCCATCAAGTCCAGTTCCACCTACATGAGAGCAAAGCACTTGTCTTTTAAAGAGACAATAGTTTTTATTTGCCTGCAGGGTTCAGTAACACATAAATGAAATATTGTGTCTGAATGGGAAGCAGATGGCAGCGCTCTCGCACCACACACAGGGTGCTGGAACCGGGTCTCATCCCAGCTCAAAGCCACATCTGGATCACTCTATTCCACCTCTTCCATTAGGCTAATCTTCCAGATGAGCTCATGAACCCGGTCTAATGGACACCAGACCTCAGAGAGAGTCACTAAAGTCTGTTCAGTTTCTCCTCCATCTGTACTGAGCATCTTTACGTTCTACGAATCGTTCCCTTTACTGTCTCTGATGTCTCTGTCCAAAGTCATTCTTTGGGAGTCTTTTTGTTTGCAGTTGAGTCCTAAAAGAACATCACCATATCTTTGTTGACCCCGTCACCCCCTTTTTTCCAAAGGTTTTCTCTTAGCACTACTTTGTCTGTTCTTGAGTGTTGCTTTAATCGGAGGCATAAAAGAAGAATTCTGACTTCCTCTTTAAACTCGATCTCTAAGTTCAAATGAAAAACAGGTTGTGGGAATAAAAAATGGCTTCAGTTTTGTTTAAATTTACCAAACTATCGCAGTGGCCTTGGACAGTCCCTGACTTAAATACAGCTAAGAAGACTGCCTTGAATAGTAGCAAAGTAAGAAAATTTCTTAAACTACTTAATAGTTACATCAAACCATGAATGAAATAAAAACAAGGAAGTGATCTACCTGCTAGAGCTAACAGGAGCTCTCCTAAGGACTGTTGGTACATATCCAGAGCTTCTTGCTCATCTGATCCGCCCTCCTCCTAGAACAGAAAGCTAAAGTAAGTACACAAAGCAACTCAACTAGGTTACAAAATAATCAGGTCAGCATTATTTTTATTCTATCATTCAACTAACTCAGTACTGATGCCACAAAATGTTTTTATTCCTTCCTGTTGATTCTTTAAAGGTTAGGACTATGAACAAAAGAAACAAAAATGTACAGTAAAATGATTAAAAGCCGGCAGAACATGCAATTTATTTGCTTTTGTATACCCCAGTAAGAGGATATCTAACCTTAGCGATCGCTGTAGATGCTTTCTCCAAGGCAGCTAGGAGGCGTGGTTGGTCTCGAGACATTTCTGTCATAAAGACAAAATAGAAGTCTTTTTGGTTCAAAGGTTGTCTCAATGCATTCAGTGAAACTTATGAGATAGTTTGTCATTAGTGTATTATTTGATGATGACACTGTTGTAAACATTGTGGTTTTTCAAAGTGCATCAAAAAGCCACAGTTTTAAAACGGTCTCTGTGCCTCAAACGGCTTCGATCAGTTGGGGTACGGACACTTCGGTCATGTTCTTCACTTTTGCCACCAGATGGTTTCCTGTCCTGCAGGTTTTCTTTCATTCAACCTTTATTTATACAGGTTAGTCTCATTGAGACACGAGGACTCATTTACAAGAGAGACATGTTTTAAACAAAGAACACAGATGAGGTATAAATAACAATAGACAATCATTTAAAAAGCATATAAAATGAAAAAGTAAATAGAAGAAATTATATTAAAAAAGAAACACAACAAAAAGAGCTACTTTATAAAGCGATGTAAAATAGTAAAAACGGGAACATGTCTGCATTGGTTTTTGCCATGAACTTAGAAGTTGTTTAAAATCCCTAAGAGAGGTCAAGGTCGAGAGCTTCAGATTTTTTTGCAAGATATTCCAGGAAACAGGAGCGGAGTAGGAGAAGGCCCTTTTGCCTAGTTCAGTTCTCACTGAGGGAACACTGCAGGTAATAATGTCCTGGGAGCGCACGCTGTAGCTGCACTCACGCAGAGACATGTAGGAGGAGATGTATGAAGGCAACAGACCAAGAAGTGATTTAAAGATGAAAAAGTACCAGTGAGAGAGTCTGTGTGAAGTTAATGATGAACAGTTAACCAGTGAATACAGGGTGCAGTGGTGGGTATGATAATCACAGCCAGTTATGAATCTTAGTGCACCATGATAGACAGCATCCAACATCTGCAGGGTTCTTGTAGGAGTGTTCATGTAAATACCGGTCATGTCACAATAATCAGTGGTAATCAAAGTCACAGTTACAAGGTGTTTCCTAGCATTCAGAGTTAGACAGATCTGTTTCTGAAAAAGAAACCCAGTTTAACTTTCAGTTTCTTTACAAAGTTTTCAACATGAGCCTTAAAAGAGAGATGCGAGTCGACCAAGATTCCCAAATATTTGTAAGAAATCGACAAACTCGATAGGAAACACCATTCGAAGATAAAATATAAAGAATGACTGCTGGTACAGACTTCCTGTTTGAAAACAACATCCCTTTGGTTTTGTCTGCTTTTAGCTCCAGTTTGAGACAGAACAAATCTGACTGTAAAAGCTGGAAAACCTTAGCAACTGTTTTAGCTCAACAATAAACAACTGTATCATCAGCATAGAAATGTAAGGATGCATCAGGGATGATCTGGCCTACATTACCTACATAGATTGTGAAGAGGGTGGGTCCTAAGACAGAACCTTGTGGTACACTGTTGTTAACAGATAACTGGAAGAAGTAACATTATGTTGAACACATTGCCTCCGATCCGAGAGATAGTTAGTGAGCCAACCAATAATCAGATCTGAGAAACCAATTTCTGAGAGCTTATGACACAAGACGTTATGATCCACAGAGTCAAAAGTTTTAGACAGGTCTAAGAAAAGTGCAGCACAATAATCCTTAACATCCAGTGCTTCAACAACATTAAGAACCTTCAGTGAAGCAGTTGTTGTGCTGTGTTGTTTCCTTAACCCAGACTGATGGAGAGGTAAGATGTTAAATATGTCCAAATATTTCTTTACTTGGGAGTTTACCAATTTTTCTAAAACCTTAGCAAGGTTGCACAGAAACATCTTTATATGTTGGGCTTGTTCAAGACAACAGCACACGACAAACTGATTTACAACAAGGTCACCGTTGTTGCTATAAAAAGTAAGCACCTGGTCTTGTTTTCCTATAGGTCAAGTGTGAACTAAACACAACAGGAAAGTGAGAATCAAGATCAAGTCAGGAGGATGGATAACAGTTGCATGTCGTGACTTCGTTTCTGCTCAGACTTGGATTCTTTACCTCGGAGAACATCTCGGGAGGTCCGGGCTTCCTCGAAGCTTTGCCTGTTGTCTAAAGCAAGAAGGGCTTTCAGCTCCTCAGCTCTGGACACGTACTGTCTGACCTGTGGGAAATACGTTGGACAATAATTTATTTAAACAACACTCATATAAGCTTCTCTTTCCAGGCAGCATGCTATCCATAAAAGGCCAATTAATTCCAAAATAAAATCACTGAGGATCTTTGAAATAGTTTTTCGTATTCTAAATCGATTTACAACCTAGTTGTTTTTATTTTGTTTCTTTATACCATTTTCTTTTATTTGTTCTTTTCAATTTGTATGCTTTTATGATTGTCTACTGTTGTCTTACTGTTGTCATCACTCTTTGTTAAAATCAGGTCTCTCTTGTAAATGAGTCCCTGAGGCTCAATGGGATTAACCTGCTCAGTGGGATTCAACCTAACCAGATTAACCTAAAAATTGCATGAAAAAAAAAAAGATTAAATAAATGACGAAACTGAAGAATAATCTAAATGTAAATACGAGCAGTGTTTTCAGGCCCACCTTCTGCCTGAGAGCATCTTTACGTTGTCGATCGGTCTCGTCTGGGGAGGAAAAAGAAATACTCTGACTTTACTGTCAGCAACTTCTCTTTTGTTTTAGCAAAGTCAGAGGATTGTTGAAGGTTGAAGATTGTTGATGTACAGGATATGAGAGTAGTAGTTCTTACAGTAAATAGCAGGGACAAAGTACTCAAGGGCACTGCAGTAGAGAGAAAGAGCAGCAGACCGCTCCCCCTCTTGGTCCTTCTGAACAGCCTGCAGAACCAGCTCTTTCTTTAAAAACAGACAAAAGTAGCATCAGTGACTGCACCTGCGACACAGGTATGTAAAAAAAAAAACCTAATTATCCTCTTACTGCTTTCACTATACTGTCTGCGCTCGGCATGTGCTCCAAATCAACAAAAGGGTGAGCGAAGAACTCGGCGAAGGTGATCCGGGCCTCTGGATTTCTCTCAAGCAGCCTCAGCAGAAGATCCCTGCAGTCCTTGGAGACTCTGGCCCCGTGAGGGAGCTGAGACACAAAGCACAACCTTTTTTCCGTTCCACTCGATCCACAGGACGATACGAGGAAGAAAAAAAGGGCAGCGCATTGTTTGTGCAAACCCTCGAGTCTCACATCATTACTGCGTGTCAAAAGATGACCTTTAAACTCCCTGTGAATCGGTGGGTAATGGACCATGAGCTAATGCAATCCATTACGTCAGAGCCTGATGTTTGACATGGAGCTATTCTGAAAGTACTCCATCATGAAAGGTACATGCAGGGTGAGCTGTGCCAGTTGTAAATAACGCACCATTTTCTGTGTTTACCTGGAAATTTTGAAACTTTACTTTTCACTTCCAGCCTTATTTTACTGATTGGTGCAATGATGTACCTCGATGGATCAGACTTAAAGCAACAGATAATATTTTGAATCGTTACACTGAGCTTGACTTGCTTCATCTACAAACTTTTATCAAATGTTGGAAGAAATTTTTAAACCAGCCTTTTTTCAGAAGAGTGAACACTTTGCCAGACATCCTCAAGTAGGACACTACACCATCTAGTGGTTTACAGTAAATTAAATCTAAGAAGAAAAAATGTTAAAGGCTTCAGAAAACCTGTCTTGATTTCAGAGTCAGGGAATCATTTAGTGAATTCAGTTCAACTTAACTGACTTTATAGCCAGATGCTCTGATTATTTGTGCATATCTGGAATGAATAAATTCATGTTCATTTAACAAATAACCTGTTCATTCTCTTAATATACTGTATATACCAGATATATAATATACCAGAATAAATCATCATCTTATACAAGTTTTACAATTTCTATTCAATAAAAGAGGAGTACTTTGTATGTGTGTGGGATCCTACTGTTCTGTTACAGCCTTCAGTGTGATAAAAGATTTTTGAAGAATGGCTGACGGAAGCTAATTTACTGCTGATCTCTTACCTCGATGGGTTGATTACTTCGAATCTTCTCTTCCAGTTCAGCATATGACTTTGATGCGAATGGTGCTCGTCCAAACAGCGCCTCTGTGAGCACAAAATGAGATTACAGAAATTCATTGTTCAAAACAAACAAGTGATCATTTGAAGATGTCATTATTGTTGTTCCTTCATGTGCTCAAGTCTGCAGGGGTCGCCACAGTGAGAAAACTCAACTGAACGATCTGGTACCGTATTTTCCGCCGTAAACGTCGCTCCGCCCTATAAGTCGCTCCGCCCTATAAGTCGCATTAGTCCAAATAAGGGCTGAGTACCGAACTTCGTTTTTTTGTTGTTGTTTTTTTTAATGGTACAGACCGAACTGCTTCAGTCAGTGTATGGATCAAAATATGCCTTTTCTTTCGGTGTCAAGATTCGGTGATAGGCTGTAACATTACACGTGGTTTCAAACATGTAAAGTTACAGCCGATGCCAGTGCTGCAACTTGCAGAGCAGGGAAAAACAGGAAAAACACAAACGTTGTTCACATGGTTTCTAAAGCAAGCCTTAATATGCATCGCCTGACCGTGCACAAAATTTGACAGCGTAAAGTTGCTCCATGTTTGACTGGAAGAAGAAAGGACTGCAGTCATCCTCCTCTCAGTGTTAAAGTCGGCCTGTGGGTGTTAGAGCCTGAATGGCCTGATTCGCATCCTTACATTTCTATGCTGATGACACAGTTGTTTATTGTTGAGCTAAAACAGTCAATAAGGCTTTCCAGCTTTTGCAATCCACTTTTGACATCATCCAGTCAGATTTGTTCAGCCTCAAACTTGTCTTAAATGCCGACAAAACCAAAGGGATGTTTTTTTTTTTAAAGAGGAAGTCGGTCCCAGCAGTTCTTCCTCCGATTTTATCCTCAAATGGTGTCCCCATTGAGTTTGTTGATTCCTATAAATATTTGGGTATCTTGGTCGACTCGCATCTCTCTTTTAAGCTCCATGTGGAAAACCTAGTAAAGAAACTGAAAGTTAAACTGGGTTTCTTTTTCAGAAACAGATCATGTCTAACCCTGAATGCTAGGAAACACCTTGTATCTGTGACCTTCCTTCCCTCCATTGATTACGGTGACATTATTTACATGAACACTCCTACAAGAACCCTGCAGATGTTGGATGCTGTCTATCATGGTGCACTAAGATTCATAACTGGCTGTGATTATCGTACCCACCATTGCACCCTGTATTCACTGGTTAACTGGACATCATTAACTTCACGCAGACTCTCTCACTGGTACATTTTCATCTTTAAATCACTTCTTGGTCTGCTGCCTTCATACATCTCCTCCTACATGTCTCTGTGTGAGTGCAGCTACAGAGTGCGCTCTCAGGACATTATTACCTGCAGTGTTCCCTCAATGAGGACTGAACTTGGCAAAAGGACCTTCTCCTACTCCGCTCCTGTTACCTGGAATATCTTGCAAAAAGACCTGAAGCTCTCGACCTTGACCTCTCTAAGTGGCTTCAAACATCTGTAAAATTCCTGACAAAAACCAATACAGACATCATGTTCCTGTTTTTAGTTTTCTACAATAGTCTTATAATTTAGCTGTTTTTCCTACTTTTTTTGTCATCTTATTTGTATTAAAATAATAATCATCTGTATGCCTTTTTATAACTGTCTATTGTTGTCATTGTTGTCATCATTCTTTGATGAAATCAGGTCTCTCTTGTAAATGATTCCTCGAGGCTCAATGGGATTTACCTGTCTAAAGCAAAGGTTGAATGAATGAATGAATGATTTCAAAATCTCCACGACTGGACTCCGCTTCGCACCGAGGACGGAGCTGTGTCTGGGATTTCAGCTGGTAACTTTACGTTTGTTAACGTTACTGCAGCTTAATATGAGCATTGTGGTGAGTTAAACTAGAATACATGTAACGCTAACTTTAAGATATTAGTGTGTAAATTTATTTTATCTATGTAGCTAGCTAAACTCAGAAGCTAACTAAAGATTGACAGTAACAGATGAAGCTTAGCTTGTAAAAATGTGCTCATCCATCCAGTCAGCTGCTTAAACAGTTCACTAATGTTCACCGTTTGTTCATTTTCTCCTCACAGGAGCCTCTGACTCTGACGTGAGGACAGAGACTGATAAAAGAAAAGTGAGGTGGAGGCCACAGGACAGCCACAAACTTTGTTGTTAAAAGTTTGCCGTCTTTTCTACAGTGGAGCTGCACGGTGGAGGTAAGTTAAGCTGTAAAGGATTTTGTTGACAGTTAAGCTTTTAATTCTCAGCCTAGATAATGTTTTTTGAGCAATAATAACACAACCATGTTATTGATGTTTTGTGTTCTCATGTCAATTAGGGAGATGATCAGAGCACTCAAGCCCAGAGAACAATAGAGAAGATTCAGGCAGAGACACAGAGGTGCAGAAGTCTGCATCAACTCTAACCTCAGTGAATCCAGTGACCTGCTGGTGGAATGTGACGGACAATATGTCAGTGATATCAAACTGACAACCATTCATTCAACCTTTATTTAGACAGGTAAATCCCATTGGGCCTCGAGGACTCATTTACAAGAGAGACCTGATTTCAACAAAGAATGATGACAACAATGGACAACAGCAACAACAATAGACAGTCATAAAAAAGCATACAGATTATTATTGTTTTTGTTTTTTTTTACAAATAAGATGGCAAAAACAGTAACAAAAAACAGCTAGATTCTAAGGCGAATGCAGAAAACTAAAAGCAGGAACATGTCTGCATTGGTCCCTGCAAGGAGTCCAACAGATTCTTAAAGCCACTTAGAGAGGTCAAGGCCGAGAGCTTCAAATCTTTTTGTAAGATATTCCAGGAAACAGGAGCGGAGTAGGAGAAGGCCCTTTTGCCAAGTTCAGTTCGCAATGAGGGAACACTGCAGGTAATAATGTCCTGAGAGCGCACGCTGTAGCTGCACTCACGCAGAGAAATGTAGGAGGAGATGTATGAAGGCAGCAGGTATCTGTGTGTGCAACAATCATCATCTACACCCTCAGAGTGAACATTTTCTACTGCTGGAGACACCATCAGCCAGGAGTGGGCTTGTTTGTGTCCAGAGAAAGCAGACATGTTGATGTTTCTGATGAAAAACTGTTAAGTGAAAAGGTCCTCAGTGTGTAGCAGTGAACATTAGACACTGACATGTCACTGGTTTGCAACTGTTCTTTTGAACTGGAAATTATTTGTTTATTTTTGTGTAAGAAAACTGCTTGGAATGGAAAAATACCAAAGTTAAAAAAATGAAACTGATTTGTACTGTAATGTGTAACGTAATTTTCTTCTTGTTAGAATTGATGTTAATTATAAAACTGGTACCGAAAAAGTACCGTCCAGGAGCCGACACCGAAGTGAAGGTACCGGTATCTAATTTTTTTGAAAGGTACCCAGCCCTGGTCCAAATATGTCTAATAAAGTGGAAAAATACATAAATATTTTGCTTCCCCATATACATCACATCTATTATGCGTCACTGCTGACAACCAGGAAATGTGTGGGAAAATCAATTGGCTGCCAAATTGCGGCCGCTGGGGCGTGCACGGGAGAACTATAACAAGAATTTAACAAGATTAACACTTAAAAACAATTATTTGTTTGCTCAAAATTATAGTAAAAGGTGTGTCTCAGTCTAACTTTTCCTTAATGCACTTTGACGGTCAAATCAGACACATTTCAAAAGCCGATATGTGGAAGTAAGGTAACTCTAAATCGTCCCTTGGTGTGAGAGACCCCTGCAACCCATAAAGGAACAAGCAGGTAAAGATAACAGATGGATGTTTATTACTGAATGATTTTTGCTGAAAGCTGCTGAAGAAGTCGAAAACAGGCTGAAAAGGTTTCAAACAGTTAATACGAGTTGAATTTGAACTGCTAACATTTGTTGAAAGCAGGAAAGTAAAAGTAGAAAATAGATGAAAAACTGCAGAAATGTGTAGAAAAAGCTGAACAGAGCAGTAATGTAGCAAAAAATGAGCAGAATAAGCTGAAATAGGCAAAGAGAAGCTGGAAAAAAAATCTGAAATAAGCAAAAAAATAAATAAATAAATAAAATAAGTACAGGTAGCTGAAATGAAAAAGAGAAAAGAAAAAAAGCTGAATGCTGGTGAAGATTCTCAGTCATACAGGTCATGGTCAACACCCCCCCCCCCCCCCAAAAAAAAAAAAGAATACAAAACTAGAAGTCATGTTTTTATTTTAATTACCGTACTTTTTTATTTTTAAGAAAAGTAAAACTGAAATTTTTGAAAAAAGGCTGAAATGAGAATAAAAATGACCTTTTTAAGAAAAATTCAAAAAAAGGCAGAAATACAAAAAAATCAAAACATATCAAAATAAAAAGGCTCAAATTAACAGAAAAACACCTAAAAAAGTAGCTAAAAAAAGAAACTAAAAATCTGAGTTTAGCTGAAAGAAGCTGAACCCCTCACAAAAAAAAAAAAAGCTTAAATTACTAAGAAAAATGTGAAAGGAGCAAAACAGCTGAAAAAAAACTTAAATGAGCAGAAAGAAGCTGAAATTTGCACTATGTGGCTGAAAAAAGCTGAACCAGAACAAAAGCTGAAATGCGCAGCTTTTACTGTTCATTTCAGCAGACAGAGAACCACCAATTTTCAAATAATAAAAATTGCACAAATACCCAAAGTCAAAGCAGGAATGTCCTGAATGAGCTAAACATTTTGATATTTGAATAGTTAAAATAACACAAAATGTGCAGAACGAGTTACATGCTGAAAACAAATGGAAGAAAAATGGATTTGAATAGTATGAGTGCGTTTTAAGCACCGACACATAAAGTCACCATTAGTACATAAAACCAGAGGATGCAAACAGCTGGATGGAGTGGCTGGATTCAAAGTTCTGAACATAGAAATTATTTACATAAACCATCAAAATAATACAAAGAGCACTGTTAGGTTTAAATAAGACATTTTATGCATTTAATTAGAATTTCTTTGTCCCTGTTTGCTTTTGTGACTGACGGTGAAAAGAGCTGCACCCATTTAATGTGTGGCTTTAGAGTGCCACTGCAGTATTATGGTTTTATTACTGTACTAATATCACAATAAGAGGCTTCGACTGGGCCGACATTATATGATTAATGGTTCAATTTTGTTCTAAGCCACTGAGCGCGCTCTTCAAGCCTGCAGGTCCACACGGCTGATTATTCTTTTAATTCTGAAAAGGTGGCCATGTCAGGATGTTATTAATCACTACTGAAAAGGACCCCTACTGCACAGCAAAAGACCTGTGTGTGAGTGTTAGTGTGTGTGTTTGTTACCTTTCTCTAATATACACCAACTTGTCAGGACCCAATGATACTGTGAGCCCAAAACACGGTCCTCATATGTTCAGCACAATATTTGAGTTAGGGGTTAGGTTTAGTGTGTGTGTTGCCAGATAGGGTGAAGAAGTAGTTGGCTACATTCAAGAGATGAAAAGTCAAACAGCACTCACCATACAGAATGACTCCTACCGACCACAGATCCACCCTGGAGTCATACTGACGTCGACACACCATCTCAGGAGCCATGTAAAGAGGAGAGCCCCTCAGGACACTCTGCTCATCCCAGGGTGACATGTACTGGGCAAAACCAAAATCTGACAGCAAATCAAAACACAAACGGTGTGTTATCTCACACTGATTCAGGACGGCACACTGTTAATGATACTTAAGTTCACAATGTTTGTCTTTTGTGATCTTTTTCCTCGAGGTGGGAATGAGCTCACCTGCAAGTTTGAGGACTGAGCCGCTGAGCAAAATATTCTGGGGCTTCAAGTCCAGGTGGGAAATATTTTGTCCATTAAGATACTGAAGAGCGCAGGCTGTTCGCAGATAAATATACAGTTACACACAAAACATAATGTGTTCCTGCAACACAACTCTGAAATAAGTGGAAAATGATGGATGGATGGAAATATTTTAAACAAACAAACAAATGGTTAGAAAAGCAAAACATATTTCATCATCTGATGGAACTTAACATAAACAATATTTGCAAATATATTTCAAAGAGGGAAACGTCACCTATCTGCTGCAGGAAGCGCCGGGCCACGCTCTCGGGTAAAATCCTGCGGCTGCGGATGAAGCGAGACAGATCTCCACCAGAACACCATTCCAGGATCAGGTAAATGTTTTCAGAATCCCACTAACAAAATGAATTTGGCACTTTTAAAAATAAGCCCAAGACTGATCTTTTTGTGCTACAATGCAAATTATTTTCTTATATCTTTGATCAAGACAGTGACAAATATAATGCGTTCTTTTACAAGTAAAAACCTGAAAGTCTTTCAGCTGGACGATATGAGGGTGATGAGCAGCCTTTAGGATTTCAATCTCTGTAAGCAGGTTTTCTGTGGACGCCTTGTTTAGGGTCTTCTTCCCAACGACTTTCACTGCTACAACTTCTCGACTGTTCCCCTGCAGCGTCACAGCGGAGAACATGTCCACTGTTCATGAATCTGTCAGGTCAAGACAACTTCCTCTACCCCTTCATGAACTCACCTTCCTGTAGGCTTTGTAGACTGTAGCATAAGTGCCACTGCCCAGCCTCTCTGTGAGGATGAAGTCTGCAAGTTTTGGAGGAGCGAAACTAGAAGTTGAAGCCATGCTGACAGAAACATTAGACTCCCAGGGAGGTCTTTGCTGAAGTGTATTTATCTGCTGCTGATAATCAATACAGTCCTCATCTTAAGGCTTATTTTCTGGGAGAGGCTGGAATGAACATGAGTCATCAAATTAATCATATTCTTAACACTCCGCTTTAAATTATTGGTATTTGTGTTTGTTGATCATTTACAGAACTGAAAGAAGAAAATGGATGCTCACAGGGCCACACCTCCTCTTTAGCTCTTAACAGCAGCTGTTTTATATTTATAAAACATACAGCGTTTCAGACAAGCTAGTGAATTACTTTAAAGAGCCAGTTTTAAGCCTCGACATCAGTAATAGCAGTTAAGTACACATGTTTTCGTGTAAAATCTTGCATACTTTCAACTTTTTATAGTTTATAGCTATTAAATAGCTAATTAATAGCTAGCTAACACATCACCTTCGTGCAGGAAATGCACATTTCTGGACAGGTATGATACGTATTTTTTGTTCAGCTAGTACCCATAACTAAAATCAATATATGTCTGCCTTTCCGCGTTCATTAAAAACTGTATGACATATATTTTGTACATATATTTAAACATAAAACCAACCTGTAGTCAAGCTCGCCGCACATGAATGAAATGTTTACAGTGCTGCTGACAGAAGTAGCTACTTGGTGCGCTCCATTTATTCACCGGCACGTAGAACGGCGCATTAAGTGGACGGAGTTTATGAAAAAAATCGGTGTTATTTAAAGTGCAGCAAGCTCAGCATTTAGAGATCTGGATAATTTTTGTATTACATATATTTCTACCTTCATTTTACTTGGTTGGATATTTACGAAACAATAAATGCATGTATCTATGACGTTAACATCGCTCTCCTCCTGCCATCACTGCTAGTCGGATTAGACACCGGAGACATTGTAAGAAGCAGACTCACGCGGCAGTTCGGTGACCAGCTGACCTAAACAAAGTGACTCTAAATTCGTTACCGACACCTAGCGGTAATATTTTGGTACTGCAGGTTGTCAATTTGTCAAACAATAATATGTAATTAAACGGCCATTAGTAAAATACAAAAATGGGTCCCAAATTGCTAATTAGTCATAAAACGTTTAAAACATGACAGTTTAATAGCAGCATTATATTTGTTTAATTGAGAACAATTCTGTAAAAAAAAAAAAAAGTAGTTTATTTACTTGCATACCAAAATAAATTTGATAAAAATTGTTTATTTTTAGTCAAAGCTTTATTTTTTTCCCCCACACAAAACTCCCCACCGGAAGTAGGCCGTCACTCGGTCATTTAAAGATGGCGGAGTGCCTGGCTGAACGTCTGGCCGCTCAGGAGGAGCAGATTCGGCTCCTAAGCAGGGAAATTTCCGGCCTTCGGGACGGACTGAGCGGGAATCTTACCGCCGCGAGCGAGGCAGCCATAAGCCCGGAGCTCGAAAGCCTGCGGGCGGAGAACGAGAAGCTCAGGTACCGGCTGCTGCACCTCCGACGGGGTCTGCAGGCGGAGCTGGTGCAGGAGAAGGAGGCGCAGGGACGTACAGAGCTCCCCGTTAGAGCGGGCAAACCTCCGGAGAAGAACACCACCAAACAGCGGCAGATAAACAACCGAGCGGAGAACAGGGTAAATATAAAAACCAGGGCTTTAAATGGTAAAGGCTCCTTCAAGTGACACCCACATTTCCAAAAATAACTGTCCCACTCAGTTCACCCTTTGAATGCTTGTCCTGTTACTAATGTGGCTTTGGAGAGAAAGATGAGACTTATTTTTCTTTGTGAAACGACAGGCGTCAACCCCAGACACAAAAGAAGCCGACAGGAACAAGAAGGAGAGAAAAGAGAAGGGGCAAACATCACATGGAGGCTTGAAGGAGGTGAACACTGCACCGTGATATTAATTTGTTGCAGACTACAAATATCAGTACGGTGTTTTGACAGTGATGGCGGTTTGTTTGTTTGTTTATTACGCTGAAGCTGAATCCCTGGCCTGGATATATTGCTGAGCGCCTCAGTCTGTATGAAAAGCTGAAGGAGGAGAGCGATGCCCTGCTGGCAAAGAGAGCTTCAAACAGCAAACCCATCACCGTGGCGCTGCCAGATGGACGGAAAGTACCGGGCAAGTCTTGGGTTACCACACCGTATCAGGTGGCTTCTAGCATAAGGTGAGCAAGTTTTACCTCAAATGATGGAAATGCACTTCCATCAGAGAAGGGTTTATTTTGACAGAGCTGTGATGCTCTTGTTGTTCCAGCCAGAGTCTGGCTGACACTGCGGTGATTTCTCAAGTGGACGGGGAGCTCTGGGATCTGGACAGACCTCTTGAGCAGGACTGCTCTCTTCAGATCCTGCACTTTGACCACGAAGATGCTCAAGCCGTGAGTACATTGATCGCCCGTCAGAGCATTTTAACAATAAAAGAAATCTGTGCAGAGTTAACCAAAACTCATTTTACAAAAGGTTTGCTTGATTCAGCAGTATTTTTACCTTTTGATGTGAGATATATCAAAGAGTTTCCAAACGCCATAAAAACTAATGATGAGAAAGGAGAAACGGGATTCCTCTTGTCAGATTGGGTATAGTTTCAGGGCCATTTATAGTTTTATTCAGGAGTGAACAACTAACACAAAGATGTGAAATAGTTTGGACGGCTCCAGGATGATTTTTCAACTCTTCAGAGACACTTTCTCAATAATCAGTCCACCAGCAGAGATCCTGAACAACAAGCAGGGCTGCAAAGAAAATTCTTTTAATAACGATACTGTCCAAACTTTACTTGTTTTTTATTTATTTATACATTTTTATTGACATTTATAAACATATATAACATGTATGTACATCCACTTCAATTATTAGTAAAATATCCATTTAAATGCCCTTTAAAAAAAAGGGGGGAACACAACATAAATAATAACACAAAAGGAGTGAAAGTGGTTTTTGTTATCATTCAGAAATTGTTAAGTCCAGATCTGTTCTGTGTGAGTTTATATAAACTGTCCCTTTCTTCCAGCGTCAAGTAAACCGGTCTTTCTCGTCGTTTACTTCTGCAGTTATTCTCTCCATCCTGTATATGTCCGTTGTGATGTTCAACGTTGGGCTCTCCGGTGAAAGTCAATTTTTTTAGAGCTTTTTTGCACGCCACTAATAAAATATTATTTGTCTATCTTTGACCATCCTTCAGGCATGAGTCCAAAAAACAAAACTTTATTTTCTAGAGCCAGTTGACTTCCAATAATATCTTGTGTCTCCTTCCAGTAACTTTTAATTACTTGACAGTCCCAAAAATATGGAAATGATTTGCACTTTTATTTCCACAGTTTCTCCAGCAAGCAGGAGAGTTACTTTTTTATAGTGTGGTTTTTGGTAAGGTGTAGTAAAGTATCTTATCTAACTTTTCCACCCAAACTCCGTCCATCTCAGTGAGCTGCTACATTTCCACTGATACTCCCAGATTGTTCTCCACTCTTCCTCTGTTAGATCTATTTCTCCTTCCGTTTCCTGATTTGTTTTGATATATAAAGTTGAATGTGCTTGTCCAAACTTTTCAAACAAAATGCCTGGAATTTGTCTAAATTTACGCTCATAAGAGCAAAACCTGGACTTTGATCTCCCAAGTTTCTTTTGCCTCCCCTTCAAAAAAAAAGCTGTAAATAAGTTTGATTTTAACTTTATTGTAGCTCCTGCTGCAAATTATGGGGACAAATAAAACATTACCGCCCCAAACTGAACTCTGTCCTGAAGAAAATGACAAATCCTGACAGGATGGACTGCTCTTCATAAAAAATGTCAACCTGTAATAATTTAGCTCCTCTTGTTTTGCTCGTCCTTGCTGTTGTTTTTGAATCTGGGACAGTTTCATGTTTTATTTGCGCAGAAACATTAGAGAGTGTGATCTCAGACCGTGAGGCGTCACCGCATGTCTTCGCCTCTCTCTCAGGTGTACTGGCACTCCAGTGCTCACATCCTGGGGGAAGCGATGGAGCGCTTTTATGGAGGCTGTTTGTGTTACGGCCCCCCCATAGAGGACGGCTTCTACTACGACATGTTCCTGGATGAACAGAAGTGAGTAAATGCAAGGATCTTCATGTGAATCATGACGAGCAGAACGGTCCACACACTTGAACGTGCTGGCTGTTTCCAGGTCCGTGTCCAGCATGGAGTTTGGAGACCTGGAGACTCTGTGCAAGGCTGTGGTGAAGGAGAAGCAGCCCTTCGAGAGGCTGGAGATCACCAAGCAGACCCTGCTGGAGATGTTTAAGGTGAGCTTAACGAAGGATGGACGTCTGCTCTCAGCCTGACCCGCGACGCACGGCTGCGTTTTAAAATGTGTCCACGTGAAAATATTTTGTTTACATTCACGTTTTCTTCTAGTACAACAAGTTTAAGTGCCGCATTCTGAATGAAAAAGTTACGACTCCTACTACCACTGTCTACAGGTAAGATGCTTACGTTTTGGAGATTATGTTGAGTGATGATCGAGTAGGATAGACTTTACTGTCTGTGTGTCTGTTGTCTCAAACTACGGGACAAGTTTTGATGAAATGCAGAAAGTAATCACTGGATGTACACCTACAACAGATGAACTTTTAGTCAATTTGATTCAAGATGGCTGCCAAAGCCATCGGATTAAAAATATATATGTAACTCAGTGAATGTTACAGATATTGACCTAAAATGTAGTATTTTAGTAGCGGAGACTGATCCCAGGCACTAACAGATTGTGCTTTTTTTTTTTAAATTGTCATTTCCCATTTGCAGTTGACCCTGTCAGTCCGTTAACAAAATATCTCATGAAACTGTTGACAGATTTTAATGAAACGTTGAAGGAATAATAATTGATATTGATAATCATTGCCTTTTGATATTGTTGACCATGATCTTTTACTTATAAAGCTATAAGCTTATGGCTTTCAAAAATCAACCATCAACTTCATGAGTCATTCCGTAACAGGAAACAGTGTGTATCTATTCATACTTTGTAACACTTACATGTGGAATTCCACAAGGCAGCCTCCTCGGTCCTCTGCTGTATAGTATTTTTGTAAATGACATGCCATGTGCATTGAGTAAGGCATTCATAGCTGTATATGCAGATGATACAACTATATGTATCTTCTGATAGTTTGGATCGGGTAAATAAGGTGCTACAACAAGAACTATAGTCTCTTTCTGTGCGAGTGATGAACAGGTTAAAACTGAACATGTTGGAAAAGCAAAGTGTATGGTGTTGAGCTTAAACATTCTGTCAAACTAACTCAAATGTTCCATATTTCTTTAAATGGACAACCAATAAAACAAGTTAAAGAAGCCAAACTGCTGGGAGTTATAATAGATCAAATACTATCATGATTCAACATATACATGAGATTGGGACTAAAATTAGTTGGAACATCTCAATAATAATAATAATAATAATGTCATCACAATGTCAGCACTGTATGTTTCCATACAATGTTTAGTGCAGTGAGTCATTTTATGTCTCCCGAAATGAAAAAAATTAGTCAGACAGTTTTTTCCCCTTTTTTGTGACGATGTTTAGGAATGATTGGAGTCAACATTGTTCTTTTTATATTTGTGAGGTTTTGAGTTGCAGTGATTGTAACATTTGTTGATTGTAATAGTCTCTACTATGGGAGATTCTTAAATGGAAAAACAAAACAACATCTTTATCTCATGAGATCACACAAAACATTACTTATGACGTTTGACCAAAATGGCTACAACTCTTGTTTCTCAACATGAGGTGATCTCAATTTAAAACCTTGTCATGAAAGGCAGCAAGTAATAAGCATCCCTGTAAAATAATGACATCACATTTTCCTTTGACTTTTTGTAACACTAATTCCTGAAACTCTGAATCCTTCAATAGATGTGGGCCTTTGATCGATCTGTGCAGAGGTCCTCATGTCAGACACACGGGTAAAATCAAGGCCATGAAGATTTATAAGGTACTCCTGGTCTAAATCTTTGCTTTAATGTTCCAAACCACAAAACCCAAACGTATCAATGCTGTGCAAAGATATAAGTTCATAAGATTTTTTTTTTTAAATCCCAAGACACTTGGGGTTGAAACTTTCTTTCTGCCTCCGTCATCAGAACTCCTCCACGTACTGGGAGGGCCGCTCCGACATGGAGACACTGCAGAGGATCTATGGGATTTCCTTCCCAGACTCAAAGATGCTGAAGGAGTGGGAACGTTTTCAGGAGGAGGCTAAGAGCAGAGACCATCGCAAGATCGGCAAAGTGAGTCCGTGTAGGCATGCACATTTCAGCCCTGTCTGCAGGTAGAGGACTGAAAATGAGGCTGAGTTTCATTGTGAAATTATTTATTTTTTGAATTGTGCACCTTAACCATTGACTTTTTTAAAAAAGATTTTGCAAAAGATGACAACACAGAAGTCCCTCGTTTATTGTGGGGGTTACGTACCGGACTCCTCCACAATAAGAGAAAATTTGCGAAGTAGCAACATTATATTTATATATAAGGCTTTAGAAACCCTTCCTACACTCTTACAATGTTCTAAACTATTAAACCTACATAATTTTATCAACATGCATAAATGTAGCTACTAAATTTTACTCAACTGCTCGACAAAACGACAGCGGCTCATTCCGGTCCGACTTGGTTCCGTTTCGGCGGACCTACCCTGCTGGTCGGCTCTCGGGCTCGGGGTAGTGGCAGTGGGCTCCAGAGGGAGTGCCAGACCTATGGGCGGCACGTTCCCGCTCAGGGGTCCTCATGCTAGAAGCTCTTGGGTTCACAGATGAGTCTGGGTTCTGCACCATTTCTAGTCCAGTTCTGTGCAGCCCTTGAGCGCCGAAGCGCATTTTGGTAGGAACCGGACCTTTGTGGCCGGCGTGGGACCAGACGGTGGTCCGATTGAGTCCTAGTCTGGATAGAAAAACGTCCCAGTGGGCTCCAGGAAGAGTGCCGGACCTACGACGGAGCGTCCCCACTCTGAGGTCATTGTGGGCTGGCTAGCAGCTCTCAGATTCACCGATGGGTCTGGAGGTCCTGTTTTGCTCCAGTTCTAGTCCGGTTCATGGTGGGTTCCTTGTGGCTCTCTGCATCTGCTGGGCGCCGAAGTCACTGAATGAATAAGCACCAAACTTTTTCCGATCAGATCAAAACGTTCCCTCTAGTATTTCAGCAGAAGGCTATGGGGCTTCTGGGTGGAGCCCTGTTGGCTTCTGGGAAATGTAGTTGTTATGAGTGGAGATGCAGTGTAGGGTTATTGATAGAAAACTACACAATGGCTGCGCCTGTCCGAAGTATTTTATTTTTTCGTAAACTTTTTACTGTACAGTATCCAGTACTGTCCCAATCACGTGAGTAATATTAAAGTTGACAATCATGTGCTGTGTCCAAATTTTTTTCTAGTGTACAGTCTTGCTTTGAAAAACCGCAAAAGAGCGAGTCCACGAAGGTCGAATCACCAATTACCGAGGGACCATGTGCCATGGTTTAAAAAAATATTTAAATGCTCAGACCAAAGCTAAGAATACACACGCACCACATCTAAATACATTTTCTCCTCTCAATAATAGGTTTATAAACCACGTAGGCCTGACTTTAGTTTGAAACCAGTGATGAAGGTGCAGGTTTTCACACCACAGTCACCATGATGTTGCCTCTTGCTGCTACAAACCAGCTGAGGGCACTGTGTTCCCTCTTACGGACACACTTGGGACATCTCTGAATCACCAGAGCGCTCCAGCTGGTTCCCCAGCAGGCAGCACCTCAGTCACCACCTATTAAGTCCCGTATGAAATGCCAGTGTGGAGATGATGCTGTCGACTCCCAGATGTAGGTGGAAGGTGGTGGTGAGAGCAGCACGTTGTGTTAAAGATGCTGCTCGTTGGCACGTTCCTGAGTCGAACCTTTTCATTTGATAACTAACTAGCTTTTAATTGGTCTCGGATCGAGTAAATATGCTGAAGTGGGAGAAAGCGCGACCTCAAAGCCTGATTAGTCAAATTGAGCTACATTTCCATCATTATTACGACACATTCTGTTGAGTTTGATCCGGCTCACCTTAATGAGAAAACGGCTCCGTCTTGTGAGAACTCTGTGTATGCGAGCGAGAGAGTGAGAGACGACTGGATAATGCCCTGCTGTGTGCAGAAGAGTTCCTGGTTGTACCTGTAGATTAGATGAGAAGTCATTAAAAAGACGTCTTTGTCTTCCCTCCACAGGATCAGGAGCTGTTCTTCTTCCACGATCTCAGCCCCGGCAGCTGCTTTTTCATGCCGCGTGGAGCCTACATCTACAACACGCTCACAGAGTTCATCAGGGTACGAGCTGAACCTTCATCATGGCACTGCCTGTGTCCATCTTTATTATTGTCTATTTGTCTGTCTGTCTGTTAGCGAAGCATCTTTTGAACCACTGGACAGATTCTGATGAAACTCGTTGAAAGTAATCTATGAATGCACGCCAACAACTGATTAACTTTCAGAGTCAGTCTAATTCAAGATGGCCACCACAGCTAATCAACCTCAGCAAACACAAATGTGGCTATAACTCAGTCGTTGATGCAAATAATGAGCTAAAATTTGGTGTAGTAGTAGCAGAGGGTCATCCCCATCACATAGTCTGAGTGCAAACAGATAGCGGGAGAGGGACCTTTGTTTTAAACTTTGATATGTAAGACTGTGGGGAATGTGCATTCCTTCAAAGAATTCCAGTTTTTATTCTAGATTTTACTCAATTTCTCCTGTGGGCAGCAGTTATAATTCTGAAAATGAAACACTACAGGGATGCACAAACAATCTGAGTCCATGAGGCTCAGGCTACTTCCTGTGTGCTGCTGGTGATTGCCACTTCATTGTAATGCAGACCTCTCACTGGGAGGCAACAGAACATCTATGTTCAGATTTTTTTCATTCATTCAACCTTTATTTAGACAGATAAGACCTGTTTAGACAGACAAAAAAGTAGTGAAAGTGAACACGTAGGATTTGGAGGCAAAAAAATCCTGTCTTCTTGGCTGAGAAGAAAGACCCTGATAATGGGAAAAAACACATGCAAACACATGGTGACGTAGACATTCCACGGGGAGGACGACAAGGGCGGTGAGAGTGTCCAAGGACACTCCCAGAGACACCGAGTTCTGATAAGGATGGAATAATCAGCCAGTTCCCTCCGGTGAGATCCATAAACACTCTCGATGGGTGTTGGGAATGGCCAAGGACAACGCCAATGAGAATCCAAGAGTCCAGAAGTTTAAGTTCACACCCGAGAGATGGAAAGTCTTGGTCCAGTCCTGATCATAGCAGATTGTCTCAGTACGGACCAAAATTTTACTAAATAAATTACCTGCAACAAACTGAAAATTATGAACAACAATGGACTCAGATATGCAGGACTGTAGATCTAACGGTGGAAACTGAAGTGAAAAATGTTTGTGCAAGTGGTGCTAGAACTTAAATCTTCAGTTACTTGAGCTGCTTGGATGAGTTTCAGTGGCTTTACAGGGATCTTTTTTTTTTTTTTTTTTTTTTTTACAAAATTGACATCTTGAAAGCTTTCACAACACACCCACAGTTCAGACCATTCTGGGAGGAGAAATGGTGCAAGATCATTATCACGTTACGCAAGTCTGCTATCACTTTGAAAAAAAAACCCCAAAAAACCAACAACCAGTAAACTCTGCTTTTCACTCCAGCATATCACCTTACGTTGAGTGCTGAGACCTCCAGCTGCTGACTGCATGGTGTTTGAAGTGAACGCTCAAATGAGGCTCTGAAACTCTTGTTTTGTTTCCTGCTAAATAATATTTAGTTATAGCTGACTGAGCATGCATTCTTTCTCTCTCCTGTTTGTCACAGTTTCACATATTTGCAGAGATCCTTCCAGCCTTCTCCTGTTGGCTGCAACACAGCTCAACAGGCTGTTGCATGTTTTTTTGCTTAAGCGTGTCAAATGACTAAAAAAAAAGCTTGCAAGATGGTTTTTTTTTTTTATTGCAGTGGCTTCAGGTTTTGTGCTCCAGCGTCACGGTTCTGCTCAGTCAAGTACTTATTGCACAGAACGTTTAGCTTCTCTGCTTTGGTTGTTTTTCTTTAGGATGAGTACTGGAGAAGAGGCTTTCAGGAAGTAGCCTCCCCCAACATCTATAACAGCAAGCTGTGGGAGACATCTGGTCACTGGCAGCACTACAGTGAAAACATGTTCTCCTTCCCCGTGGAAGAAGACGTCTTTGCTCTGAAGCCCATGAACTGCCCCGGCCACTGGTAAAAACATTTTTTGTAAAGAAATATTGTCTCCCAAATCAAAGCTGTCACCATGGGATGCACTTTAATGCTCTGTCGTCTTGCAGCCTGATGTTCAGCCACAGGCCTCGCTCGTGGCGGGAGCTCCCTCTGAGGCTGGCTGACTTCGGGGTCCTCCACAGGAACGAGCTGTCGGGCACCTTAACGGGGCTGACCAGAGTGCGCCGCTTCCAGCAGGATGACGCTCATGTTTTCTGCACGATGGATCAGGTCTCACCTGCACTTTTATTGTTTCTGTTTTTAGTTTTTGTAAATTAAAGCCTATTTTAACAATCCAACAAAGTTAAGTCAGGTCCTCTGCACGATTTCTTTAAGTTGAAATGTTTCATCCTTCATCGAAAGAGCTTCATCAGCCTGAGGAGCCACAACAAACTCAGTCCCATAAGTGGCTTACTCACATATAGTGGGCCAGCCAGTCTTATGGTGATAAGATGGTTTCTGGAGTCCACCCTCTCCCCCGTTGACTTCGCTGAGGCAGCCATAGCCAAAATGGTTCAGAACATCAAAGTTCATGCTCAATAATCCAGGTAGAAAATCCAACAAAGTTAAGTCAGGTCCTCTTGATGGTTTTTGTGTTGAAATGTTTCATCCTTCATCTTCACCTTTGACGTTTTGAACCACTTTGGCTATGGCTGCCTCAGAGGAGTCGACAGGGGAGAGGGTGGACTCCAGAAACCGTCTTATCACCATAAAACTGGTTGGTCCACTATGTGAGTGGGCCACTTATGGGACATAGTTTGTTGTGGCTCCTCGGACTGATGAAGTCCTTTGGATGAAGGACGAAACGTTTCAAAACAAAGAAACCGTCCAGAGGATCTGACTTAACTTTGTTGGATTTTTTTTTTTAACCTGGATTACCGAGCATGAACTTTGACCTATTTTAATGAGTTATCTTGAATTAAGTACTATTACCATTTTTTCATCTAGATTGAGACGGAGATGAAGGGTTGCCTGGACTTCCTCCGCTGCGTTTACGACGTGTTCGGATTCTCCTTCCAGCTTCATCTCTCGACTCGTCCGGAGAAGTTTCTGGGTGACGTCGCTGTGTGGAACCAGGCTGAGAAGGTACGTCGACCTGTGAATCCTGCTTACAGCTTGTAAAAGTGAACTCCGTCTTGATGCTAAGGTCTGACCTGTGTGTGGGAGACTGCAGTCCTCTGTTTGGATAAATAATTACTCCTGTTGAGAAGAAGCTGGCTCTCTGCCATGCATGTGCTCATCCACTTGTATCACATTCACATCTGAGTCACGTCCAGTTCCCTGTATTTTTGTAGGTGGTATTTTCAGCCAGTCATTACTCAACATGCTTTATTTAGGTTCTTGGCTGTATGTTACATCAGATGCCATTTAAAATGAAAATAATAGGACATTAGGCAACAAAAAATGAGCTGTGTGTTTAAGCATGACTCTTGTTGTTTTGAGTTAAAATAAAATTCAATGTTTGACAGCAACTTGAAAACAGCCTGAATGAGTTTGGGGAGCCATGGAAACTCAACCCTGGAGACGGGGCGTTTTATGGTCCCAAGGTTGGAATATATTTTTAATACTTTCTGCGAAACATAAAGTCAGCTTGAGGTCTTGAAAGATCTGGATTAATGTTTTTTCCTGCGCTGTTGCAGATTGACATTAAGATCAAAGATGCAATTGGACGTTACCACCAGTGTGCAACCATTCAGCTCGACTTCCAGCTGCCTATTCGCTTCAACCTGACCTTTGTGGGGTGAGTCACCTAATCAAACGCTTCCACACTGCTGAGTTTGTGCACTTTGTTGTGCCGAGGATTGGATGAGATGGTTTTTTTACAGGTAATGAGATGTATGCAAATTTGAGCTCGCTGAGCACCAGGAACGTCAATAAACAGTCCCAGGAAGGAAAAATGATTCACTTTCAGTACAGCACTAAGCTTCATGTTTTAGTTTGTGAGTGGTATGCTGGAAAGAGAAGCACTATAGATGAGTACCGAGGAGAAAAGGGGTGTATTTGAAGTCGGGGAAGGACAGGAAGCCTTTATCTTGTTTGTGAAACTGTAGCACAGCACTGCTAAATGAGCGGTCCTTCATTTCTTTATACTCTGGTTCCAAGAACTTGGGCTTTCTTAGAATTCATCAAATGGTCTTGATCTATAGTTTTCCAGTCGTTTGAAGATTTTTAAACATTTCTATTGCCCTCTGCTTAAAGGTGGGTGATATGGTTTGTTTTTGTGCGCGTGTTCATTTGTACGGAGCCCCGGAGGGGACATGGGGGATTTTTTTTTTTACTTTTGTGTTCCCTCGCAATACTTCACAGACATCATGTTCCTCCCTCAAAGAAACTGGTCCAGATGACATGATTTAATGGAGTTTAGTTTTGAAATCAGCCTTAAATTTAAGGATATCCAGTCTGTGCTGCACTGGTAAAATTAGTTTTACGCTGGATATTTCACGTTCGTGCTCCGTGGATTCAGAGCTTCCTCGTTCAAGTAGACGCAGAGAGACTAATTTCCTTCAGCTGCTCTGAAGTCTGTCCCTCCTCCGAGGAGCAATGGTTCTCTTAGGGACCGTCAACAAATTACCAGGCTAATGAGCTTGGTCTGAACAGTGTTATACATGTTGACATATATTTCCAGAGTATTTGTCAAAGCAGCACCATGTATCATAAGTTTTCTCAGTATATTTCTGCATGGTAATAAATCTTGGATTTTCCTCACCATTTAAAATCCAAAAGAACAAAGGTGGCACTTGCATTTCAAAAGTACTGTAACTTTCTTTTAAAGCATAAAAAGTTCATTCAAGGATTCAAAGATTCAAGATTCTTTATCTGTCATTCGCACCACATGTGGTGCATGTGGTGGAACGAAATTGTGTACACAGGGTCGCAGTTACATCCAACAAAAGTATTAAAATGCGTGTAAAAGAAAAACGGTAATAAGATCTAAGATATGAACTAATAAAAACGTTAACTAAAAACACACTAAGCACACACTTCTGGAAGGTTTCATCAGTCTGAGGAGTCCCAAGTGAACCGTTTTCCCCACTAAGCAGTACACTCCTTTAGTGGACCAACCAGTTTGCTGGTTTTGCTGGTGAAGCCCTCCGAATGGAGGGCAAAACGTCTTTCCACAAAAGGAAACTGTCCAGATGACCTGACTGACCATTACTGTATTTTATACCTGAATGATTGAGCATGAACTTTGATGCTTTAAAAGAAAGTTACAGTACTTTTGAAATGCAAGTGCCACCTTGTTCTTTTGGATTTTAAATGGTGAGAAAATTCATGATTTATTACCATGCAGAAATATACTGAGAAAACTTATGATACATGGTGCTGCTTTGACAAATACTCTGAAAATACAGTCATTTGTTGACGGTCCCTAAGAGAACCATTGCTCCTCGGAGGAGGGACAGACTTGAGAGCAGCTGACTGAAATCAGAATCTCTGCGTCTACTTGAACGAGGAAGCTCTGAATCCACGGAGCATGAACATGAAATATCCAACGTAAAACTAATTTTAGCACTGCAGCACACACTGGATATCCTTATATTTAAGGCTGATTTCAAAGTTCAATTCAATTCAGTTTATTTAGTGCCAAGTCACAAACTCCTGCATGAACCTCAAATATGGGTGTCTGTTCCATTGTTGCTTTTGTCTGTGAGGTAGCACTATCAGTACAGTATTGCGAGTGAACACAAAATTTTTGCGAGTGAACGCAAAATTTCTGCGTGAGAATGCAAAAGAAAAAAATCCCCCCCGTCCCCTCCGGGGCTCCGTACATTTGTCTATTGTCTTAATAAAATGTCTTCCAAAAAAAACCTCTCTGAAAGTAATTGAGTGCAGTCGTTGATGAATTTTCTTCTAAAATGGACAACCCTTTCAAGTCAGCTCAACTCAAGATGGCCACCACAGCAAGTTGACCTCAGAAAACAAACAAACGAACAAAAAGCTGTTGCTCCTCTATACATAATGACATTTTCAGGATTTAACCATGTAGCAGCCCCCCAGGTCTTGAACAAGGTTCAGCGCAGCCTCGACGGGTGTTTTTCCAGGTTCTTTATTTTCTCTTCCGTCAGGATCACCATGCTCACCATGAAAACTCAAATATATACAAACATTTAGAAACAAACATGTGCTCATAATGCAAACAAAACGTACCTTGCTGCTTTCACCGGGGGAATGCAAAGCATAGATTGTCTTTGTTTCCCTTACACCAAACATTTGAGTCCTGTTGACAGTTGTTCTTCATCCATTAATTAGTGCACTGATTGCTGTCAGCTTTTATAAGGCTGGCCCTTATTAGCTATGGCATCCCGTGAGGTACAAAAAAAACCCCACTAATTGAAAACTACAAATAACATGAAATCAAAACAATATATTTACAACCAACACAGTCAAACAGACAAACATATATAAACAATCTACACAGTTTGGAAATTAATTTTAACTAATTTACAGTCCGTTACAAACCAAACCCTCTCTAATTTAATGTTTTTCTTTTAATCATAAAATGAATGGTTGTGGGCGATTTGTATTCCCTTAAGGAATACTATTTTTTTTAATTCTTGAGAATGTTTGCATGTTGCCACCGAGGTGCAGTGGTTAGATCTGTCGCCTCACAGCAAGAAGGTTGCAGGTTCGCAGTATTTCTGTGTGCAGTGAGCATGTTCTCCCAGGACCCTGTGCATGTGTGGGTTTTCTCTAGGTGCTCCACTTTCCTCACAAATTAAGGTTAACTGGTGACTACATTGTTCCTAGGTTTGAGTGAGGGTGTGAAAGGTTGTTTGTCTTCATGTGATGGGCTGGTGATCTGTACAGGGTGTACCTGCCTCTCACCAAAGTACAGCTGAAAAATTGGCACCAGCTCCCCCACCATCTTGAGCAGACTGATATAACAGTAGTTTATGAATTATTCAGGTATTTAAAGGCTCCCAAACTCAATGAATGTGTCAATGCTTAACAGATAACTCTGCCAAGAACCAGTTTAAACTAGAGAAATGGTGTTTCTGCAAAAATGCAGAGTGCATGCTTATTGCTGAAGAAATTGCAGAAAAACTTTTAAAATTACTTAAAAACTTGCTGAAATGTAGCTGAAATTGAAGAACAAGCCTAAGTTAACAGAAGAAAGCAGAAATAACACATAGTTGCTGAATTAAGGTTAAATAAGCATAAATGAGCACAAAATTAGGAAATTAGCTAAAACTAAAATTACAGCTGAAATTACCTAAAAATGCTAAAATGCTTGCTGAAAAAGTAGAAGCTTAAATTAGTAGAAGAAAGCAGAAAAAACAAGTTTGCTGAAAGAAGCAGAAATGAGCAAGAAAAGTGGAAATTATCTGAAAAAAGCTGAAATTGGCAATAACTAAAAAAAAAAAAAAAAAAACTTGCTGAAAAAAGGCTATAAAAACATACAGAAAACTCTATTCCCATCTAGAAGTGGAGAGCACATGTTTGCTGAATTAGGTTCAAAAAAGTTTAAATGAGTGCAAAAAAATTGAAATTTGCTGAAAAAGCTAATATGATCATACAACAGCTAAATAGTAACTGAAAGAAGTGAAACTAGCAGATATAAGCTGAAAAGAGGATAATAAGCTGAAATTAGTAAAACAAAGTTGTTTTTTTTAGGCTGAAAGAAGCAGAAATGAGTGCAAAGAAGTGGACATTTTCTGAAAACGGCTGAAATTAGCAGGAAAAAAAGCTAAAAATATTGCTGAAAATAATTTACCAAGCTTAAATTAGCAGAAGAAAACATAACACATTTGCCTAATTAGACTGAAAGAAGCAGAAATGTGCACAAAAAATGGGGAAATTGTCTGGGGAAAAAATCTGAAATTAGCCAAAAAAAAAAAAAAAAATAGCTGAAAGGTAGCTTAAATTACAAGGAAGTGGACAGAGCGCATTTTTGCTGAATTAGGCTGAAAAAAGTTGAAACGAGTGCAAAAAATGTGGAATTAGGTGAAAAATATCAAATGAGCATAAAACAGCTATATAGTAGCTGAAATAGTAGAAAAAGCTTAAATTTGTGGAAATAAACTGAATTTAGTAAAAATAAGTTAGAAGATGCACAAAAATATTGTAGTTGACAGAAAGAATCTTAAAGAAGCACAAAACAGCTGAAAAAACAGCTGAAATTAACTAAAAAATGTTTAAATTTGCACAAATAGGCTGAAAGAATCTGAACCAGAACAAAATGTGAAAGAAGCAGTAAAAGGTTGTAAACAGATCTAAAGATCTGAAGGATGTAAAATGAGCTCATTTCATTTTATTTGAGAAAAAAAAAAACATCAGAAAAGGCTAAATATTTCAAAAAGCTAAAGTTGCACCAATATCAAAAGTCAAAGCAGGATTGTCCTGAAAGAGCTGAATGTTTTGATCTATGATTTGTTGAAATAGCTTGAAAAACTGGGGGACAAGAGTCTCATTAAAAAATTGCAGAAGAAAAATGGATCACAATAGTGTGAATGCTTCATAAACATTCACACGGTAAATAGGATCTTAAGACTTTTAAAGTGATTTGTTCAGAAAGCATCAAGAACCACTAAGACATTTAAATCCACAACAAAGTCTGCCTCTTTTAAAGTCAAACAAAAAAAATGTTTGTTTTTTTATCTTTACCTAAACCTTTACCTTCAAAAGCTGATTGTACTGCATACATCGACATTTAACATAAATTTGTTTCCTACTTTGAATTGTTTCTCTTTCTGTTTGCTTGTTTTCTGTGAAACAGAAAGGACGGTGATGACAAAGCCCGACCCGTCATCATCCATCGTGCCATCTTGGGCTCAGTGGAAAGGATGATTGCAATTCTCACAGAAAACTATGCAGGGAAATGGTGAGAAGCTGCTCGTGAATAGATTTTTTTTTTAAATTACTTTATTTTACCAGGAAGAAATCCATTGAGATCATCAATCTCTTTTACAAGGATGTCCTGGAGTTTTACCTAAAGCTCAGATGTTAACAGCCCATAATCCTTTTTACACAACAAATGTTTTTTGCTCTTTTCATAAGTGTCTTTGTGTCGCAATCCATTTAAACGGCATGTCCTTGTGTCAGCATGACAGAACAATTCACTGTATTGTCAGTACAACAGTTTTACTTTGAGCATCCTCTCTACACTGTGATTTCACCTAGAAGTTACTTTATGTGGTAGAAAAACAATGACTGCAGTGTTTTTGTATTTACATGAGTGATGACTGAGCATCATTATAACCCATCTGTCCCTCCAACAGGCCTCTCTGGCTCTCTCCTCGTCAGGTGATGCTGGTGCCTGTCAACCCCTCCTGTGAGGATTACGCCAAGAAGGCATGTGCTCAATTTCCCAATAACAGGAACATGTTGGCACATGTGTGAATGCAGACATTATTTGAGGCACTCAAATAAAATGTAGAATGAACATACAGTGTTTTATATTGATTTAATTTGTTTTAACCTGTCAGGTGTGTAAGCAGTTCACAGAGGCTGGATTCATGGCAGACGCTGACCTGGACTCTGGCTGTCTTCTAAATAAGAAGATCCGAAATGCTCAGTTGGCTCAGTATAACTTCATTCTTGGTGAGGACCTACAGAGCTGAGGACAAGTACAGTGAAAGTACTTGAAAAAGTTTTATTTATTCACAGTAGTCCCTTGCTACTTTGTGGTTCGTTTTTCACAAACTCGTCTATCGTGGTTTTTCAAAGTAAGATTGGACACGACACACAATTGGCTGATTGATGGATGAGCCGCACAATTGGCTTGGAATTTGTATTTAAAATAAATTATTTCTAAATTATTTAGAACCTGTTGCACATTTGTGCAGCCCACAGATGCAGGAGAAGCTTTGTCCTGCAGAGTGTTATGAACTCCGCTCTGCAGCGGAGAAGTGGGCGTGGCCGAGAGCGCTGGCAGGAGGCAAAGTGCAGCTCGAGGCAGAGAGCCGAAATCATAACATGCTGTGCTCTTTTAGAGCGTTTAGAAGCATTGTTCAGAATATTGCAAGAGTGTGGGAAGGGTTTAAAACACCTTTAAAAATGTATAATATAAATAAATACTAAAATGAATAGTACTACTATTCCTACTTCGCGTTTTTTCACTTATCGCAGGGCTTCAGTGTAAGGATCCCCCACGATAAACGAGGGACAACTGTACATAATCAAGCACTGCAAACAGCAGCAAATGTGATGAAACTAAATTAGGTGTGTGTTACATATAAAACAGTGGCAGTTTTCAGATGTACATTTGATCAAGCAGGAATGTAAATTTAAATTTCTTGTAGAATCGCTGTGGTCCGTCAGTAATTGAGACTGTTTTAGACTGAATGTAAATGTACGGGACCTGTTTTAAGATGTCTCCTTATATAAAAAAAAAATCTTAGTCTCTCTATGAATGGATTCATGCCAGATAACAGATCTGAGATAATCGAACATGTTCCGGATGAATATTATGCATCTAAGTTACATAAAGTAATCTGCATGGCTCTGTAGTGTTTCTTTATATATATATATATATATATATATATATATATATATACTTTTTGTGTTTGATAGCTCATATAGTTTTTTTCTTTCCAGACTGGCATTTTTCTTTTCAATAAGGATACAAAATACTGTCTAATTGGTAGTTTCCAACTGATCTGGATCAATATCTGCTTTATTTATGCACAACTTTCAGTTTAGCCTATTTTAAGTGCATTTAACTAATAGTTTGTATACTTTATTGTGATTAGCCAAAATTAAAAATAATGATGGAAGAAAAAAATAGATTGAACTTAAAATTTAAATTCATAGTCATTATTCTACAACCGTTTTAATTAAATCTCTAGACCTCATCACACTTAAGAAGCTTTGATGATCCTCTCCCAGTTGCAATCTCTAAATTATCCACCGTCAGGCTTAATTGACCCTTATCTGTAAGTTTTCATTAATGCAATATTCAAAATCTTATTTTTTTGTGTGTACTGATTGTTTGGCATCATAATGTAAATGCTGGACGTGCTAAAACAGCATTGTCAAAAAGTTTAATAGAATATAGGTTTGTATATTAAAGATTATCAAAGACATCATTTTAATACTTTGTGTCAAACTGTATGTTGTTACTGAAGTTTAAATTAAAAACTAATGAACTCTTGCAGATTTATTTCACCTAATGAAACACTAAATAAAAATCCCTAAAACCCCCAAATAATGTGTTTTTAAAGGATTATTTTAGGTGTAGAAAATATCTGAATTATAGTAAACAGGCTGACACGTGAGAGAACCTGGTACAGTGTGTTTAACTGCTCAGCTGTGATCAGAGGTGCCATGAGACGCTCACTGAGTCAAAATAAACATCCATAATGAGTCGACTACAAGGCAAATGGACGTCCAAGCTGGCTAACCACCCACAGTTGTTAAAGTCGGCGATACAAAGCGGGGACCGTGTTAGGGTAGCTGTGTGGTGTGAGCGTGTGTGGTGTTATCTCAAGCTGTTGTCGTTCTTGTCTTGGCAGTTGTCGGAGAGAAGGAGAAGATGACTAACAGCGTCAACGTGCGCACGAGGGACAACAAGGTCCACGGAGAGCTGTCGGTGTCCGAGGTGAAGGCTCGCCTGACCCTGCTCAAACAGTCCCGCTGTCGAAACGCAGAGGAGGAGTTCTGATGAAGACGGCAAACAAGGCAGAGCATTTGATTACCTCAACCTTCGCAGAACAAGGAGCAGTGAAAGGTGGATGATGACACGTGTGAAGATGGTTTGGAAAAATAGGTTGTGTAAATTGGACAGAAACGAAGTGATGATCCATGATGGTATCTGTATCAGAAGGGGCCAGAAAAATGTCTAGAAAGAGATGAGTGTATTACACATGTTGTGAGTGTCAAATATTTTCCAGGTAGTCCAAGAAAAGTGAATTGACAGTGACAGCTGTACTCGTGGAAATTATGCTTATTTTCACAAAAACCTGCCTTAGTGGAAAAACCCATGGACAAAAATAAATAAATTCCCAAAAAGTGTTTTTGTTTGTTTCTAATTTCCCCTGCTGAAGAGGTTCACATTTTATAAGAATTATGTGTTATCACACCAGCTGTTTTAGTGGTGACACACAACATCCCAGGAAATTATAGTCATACCAAAGCAATTTTCTCTTAAGTGGATAAAGAAATGGTAATATCAGTAATGACGGCTGAAAATTGCTTTTGAGCAATAAAGGTCAGATCAGGTGCATACAGTGGCTTCAGACAATTCAACCCCCCTTTTTTATTTTTTGTGTTGCAGCTTGTAACAATAGTTAAAATTCAATGCAAAGCACTTGAAAGTCCATGACTCTTAAGACTTTAAGGAACAAGATTTTATGGTTTTATTAAACCATGAAACCGTTTGGCCTCAGTTCAAAACATGTCTGCAGCAAACCAGACACTCATCACATGCTCTTTATCATCCCCACAGTGAAGCATGGTGGTGGCAGCATCATGCTGTGGGGGTATTATTCAATCTTTATTTATGCAAATTAATCCCATTGAGCCTCAGACTCATTTACATGAGAAACCTGACTTTTAACAAAGAGTGATGACAACAGTGGACAACAATAGACAATCATAAGAGGCATACATTTTTTTTTAACAAGTTAAAATAAAATGGCAACCAAAAGAACAATCAAAAGGAAAAGGTAGCGAAAAAACAGCTAGATTATAAGGCGATGTAGAAAACTAAAAACAGGAACATGTCTGCATTGATTTTTGCCAGGAACTTAATAGATGTTTTGAAGCCACTTGGAGAGGTCAAGGTCGAGAGCTTATCAGCAGCAGGAACTGGTAGCCTGCTCAGGATTGCAGAAAAGCTGAATAAAATATCTTCAATCTACTGTACTACAGCACTCTGTATTTCAAACTGGGCTAAAGGCTGACTTTCCAACATGACAATGATCTAAGTGTACAGTGAAGACAACTGGAGGGTCTTGGATGCAACTTTTTTAATGTCCTGAAGTGACTCTTACACAAAGTACTGACTTAAATCTAGTCAACTCTGAAAAGCTGCTAAAAGGGTTCCATACCAACGACTGCAATCCAACATGAGCTTGAGAGAATTTGCAAAGAAAAAACTCCCAAATCCCAGGTGTGCCAAGCTTTTTGCATCACATCCTAAAAGACTAGACTATTTGATTTATTGTTTTTGCAAGGTAAAGCTTTTATTTTTTCACATCACTTATTCCTGTATAAATTTGACTGGAATGACTACAGTAAATACTAACAACAAAGTCCACTCCATGCTCAATAATCCAGGTGTACAACATTTTTCAGTCAGGTCATCTGGACAGTTTCTTTTTTTTTTGTGCTGAAACGTTTCACCTTCGATCCAGAAGGCTTCATCAGTCAAGGAAACACACAACAAAACTGATTCCCCCCCCAACAGCTTACTCCAAAGTGGAACAAACCAGTTCTGCTTGTGATAAGATGGTCTCTTTGGTACACCCCCTCCTCCATTGCCGGCCCTCTTCCTTGTTGACAGTCTTGTCAAACTGGTTGAAAATAAATAAATACAGTAAATACTGTTTTTGTGGCAGCCTTTCCAGTGCGGGTCAACTTAAAAATTTTCTTAAGATTGTATCAAATTCAATAAAGTTTGCTAATCATATCCAACAATTTTCAGTCAGGTCATTTGATGGCCTGACTGAAAATTATTGGATTGTATAGCTGGATTATTGCATGGACTTTGTTGGTTATGCTAATCGTACAACACCTAAACTATAACTTGTTTATCTAATTTTCTACGTATGTTACACTTTTTTTGTAATGTTGACTCTGTCTTAACAGATGTACAATTATTTGAAATTAAACTAATTAAATATCCATGAACGGAAAAGGTGAGGGACCAGCTCCCCTCTCGTAATTGTCTTTTTTCCTACATGACCTGAACGCAGCATCTTCCGCAGCAACAACGATGGCTACTAGCTGTCGGATGTGGAGACCAGGCCGAGGACGGTGCCTAAAACACTGCGGGATATTTGTCATATTGTTTATGGACCTGGTCTTACAGAGCGTGAACGGTATGTTTACGAGGTCGTCAGTTTTAGTCCAGCTCAAAGTTTTGGTCGTTATTGTGTACTGGTAACAGAACTAGCATTGGGGCTAAGCTAACAGGTTAGCTGTCTTAGCACAGTGCAGCTAGCTAGCCCGCAATGAAAACACGGAATGTGTAGCGTTTGTTTAAATCGTGGTTGATCACTGAACAATTTTGGTAATTACGTCATACTTAATTGGCTGTTCATGAGACCTATCAGTTAGCTGCTAATACTGAATAAAGCTAGTTGAAATTAAATGACCGGATGTTTTTGTTTTTCTGTTCTGGGTGGTTTTCAGGGTACTTGAGTTCTCCTCAGGTTAGCCACCAAGAGCCTGCGTTCACCAGAGAGGCCCAGCGTGGACCCATCATCACCAGTCCTGTGGTCCCTGCTGCAGCTTCTGGTAGAAACTCTTAAAACAAACAACAACAAAAAACTCTTGTAAACAAAATTAGTCGTTGTTGATATGTATTTGGTTGAAAAGTTTGAAACAATGATAAACATGTCACACGAGATGCAAGTTTGATGCACATGACATAGGACTAATGAGCCACAAGTACAAGTCTTAATTGCTTATTATAGTACTCTTTATGCTAAATGTGTATGTTTTGGGAGTTTTGAAATTATGCAGGTTTATGACGCCTTGTTTTCTTGTGAATGACTTTTGTAGTGTTTAGTGTGTTTATAATCTACATGCTCATAATCCAGTTCTATTTAGAGATTTCTTTAAAATTTATCAGTGAAAGAACATTAAGAGCAGGATGGAAAGATACATTTTAGTTTTTATTCTTTTTTTAAAGTTTCATAGGGGAGTAGTCGCGCAGAAGCTAGAGAAGATGGGCCTGCGATCGGAAAGTCGCAGGTTCAACTCCCGGTACAGACAACATTAAAATGTGGGTGGAAAAGGTGAAACACCCACACCTGCCTCCACCCTCATTTGCCCCACTCTGGGCCCATGAGCAAGGCCCTTAACCCCCACCATCTGCTCCCAAACAGGTCTCTCTCGACTCAATGAGACTACCTGTATAAATAACGGCTAAATTAAAAAATAAAAGAGTTGAATTCAGTTATGGTAAACATGATCTGATGAAGTGTCTCAGTCACATTCTGTTATGTGGTTTTAGTTACGATTATAGTGAAACTGCATATTTTTATTAACAGATCTTTTATTGTGGATGGTTTGTTTAACACACTTGGACTGAGAGTCACTGGGACTGTGTCCACAAAGTGTATAAATATTAGGGATGCACGACATTATCAGCATGGTGTCGGTATCAGCCGATATTAATGCTAAATTTCAGTATTGGACATTGGCCATTCCAATAAAATAACTCACCAATATAAAAGGCACTGTTTTTGCCTGCAGTGGCAGCACAAGCCGCTCTACATCGGCTGCAGTCGGAGATATTTTTCCGACATAACGTTACCCGAGTTACAAGTCGTCATTTCCGACGTCATTGAGAAGCTAATAACTGATAACACGACTTGTTGGGTGAGTTTTACCACAGACATTTGGACGTTGTGTTAGCCTCGTTAGCATGATTAGTCTTACGGCACAATGGACAGACAAAAACTTTGAACTTAAAAAGTCTGTCCTTCATGCACAAGAGTGCAGAGGATCCCACACTGCAGCTAGGAACCTGGAACAAACCTCCACAAGTGAGACAGCATCACAGGTGACTAATGCTAATAAATATTTAACACTTTTCATTTAATATAAGTCAAAGTGCTATGCATATCATATGGCTGTTACTGAATATATGTCACCAGCAGCTGTTGCACAATTTTTTGTAGCAAACAAGCCTAAATAAGAGGGCTATGTTCTGACAAAGGAACATATATAAAATATCAGCATCGGTTATCTGCAGAATAAGTTTTAACATATCTGATATCGGCCAAAAATCTATTATCGTGCATCGCTAATAAATATCTCTTCGTAATTCTTCTTGTCAAACCCTGATTGTGTACAAGGTCTCCATCATGGGATAAATTTGCCACAGTTACCAGCTCGTATCACAGTTGTATGGTGACATTAGTAATTTAAGGTAATTTTTAGTGCAATAACAGATGTTTTTTAGTGTCCCCAACAGATGAAGACACTTCTAAATGCCCTAGTCGGGGTTTGTGCAGTCGCCTGCCAGCAGATTGCATTCAGTGCAACTACCAACACAACTGCACCTACGGCAAACCAGCTGCCTTCACCTGTAAACCCAAAAAGGATGTTCACTGTATAGTGAGTAGAAATGTTTTTGTTAGATGTAGAGAATGTCTCCACTTTTTCAAGCAAATTTTCACAGGATAAAATTGAACTTTTTAATGCAGAGGTTTCGGTGTAGTAACTTTTTTTTTTGTCTCTTTTTTAGGGAGAGTCAGGACAGCAGCAAACCAACTTTACTCTCTCCATCATCTGTCAGTTCTGCTGGCAGCTGGACCCATCTCTGTACCGCTGCTCAAACCTCACCAACTGTATGACAGTCTCCTGCCCACGCAAGCGCTACAACGCCACCTGTGAAGTCTTAGACCATGTGCATTGTTTAGGTATGATGGTTTTGTTTCCAACAACAGTGGAGTAATTACACACAAAGCTAGTCGTTGTTTGAGCTGTGATTTTTAAATTTTTTTTAAACACTACGAATTTACAAAAAATAAAAATATACATTTCTATATCTTCAGTAAAGATTTGAGCTGCTAGCTTTTTTCCGGTGAATAAGAGACAGTTTAAGCTTTGTAGGCTCTTTCATTTCCTGGTAATTGAGGCGTGAGTCATGCAAACTTTGTATTCTTTATCTCTGTTATATAAACACAGAAATGAAAAGTGTAGGATGGCTTTTTCTTTGTCTCTGTTAGGAAAATGGTTAAAACAGATCAGCATTATGCTTTTAACTGTCTTATTCAAGTAAATGACTTTGGGGAAGAGTACTTTTTTTGTACATTTGCACATTTAAGCATAAAACGTATGTAGGCTGTATTTAATTGTAAACGTCATTAGAAAGAGTGCATTCAGTCTATACTGTGTCAGAGTGTAGACAATGTTTATTTCTGACTGTACATCAGGTTTACACTCGTGAGAAAGTGACAACTGCAGGCTGTTCAATATTTAGTAACAGTTGATCCAGTTGAAACAGCATATAAACTAAACTACGATAATTTAACAAATAGCATGGTTGAGTTCATGCATTTTTTCCAACAAAAATGGATTCAAAATAGAATTACAGTTTCTATAGAGAAAAAACTTGTCATAAAGGTCTACTTGTTTACTTTGGTCACTGGCAAACTGCAGTGGTGCTATATTTGTTTGTAATGACCCCCATGCTGCTCAAATTTGTGCAGTCTTTATTCTGATTGTAAATGTAATAGAACAGCCACAAGTGGTTCCTGTGGACTTTGTGCTAAACTGTTGCTGGATCTGGAAACCATTTTAAAGAAACAGCCTAGAGTGATACATTCGCAGATTTATAAATATATTTTACAACCAGCTAGTCATTACAGAAATAATTTAAATATTCCTTTCACATTATTATGATTTAGATCCTTCAGATATTTTTATTTCCTTCTTAGACGTATATTCATTCATTAAATGTTTGTTGATTGAAATGAGAAAACATCCTGCATTTTTTTTGTGATAATAGTACAGATGTCTCAACAAAAATATATGGTAAATGGACTGTACTTGTATAGTGCTTTTTTATCTTATCAATATACTCAAAGTGCTTTACAACACAATCTGTGCCCTCATTTACCCATTCATACAGCACTCTACTAGATCTATAAAGAGAATAATCAGAGCTTGATCACATTCATACACCAATGGGACACACATCGGAGGCATTGAGGGGTTCAGTGTCTTGCCCAGGGACACTTGGGCATGTGACTGCTGGTGGAATCGAACCCCCAACTCTTGCATTGGAGGACAACTGCTCTAACCACTCAGCCACAGCCACCCAATAACTCAAGATCTAAGACAGCTGTAGTTTTAAAAAAAGACAATTTGTACCCAAACTAGTGAAAGCTTTGAATTATGAACACCTAATCCAATAACCCTAATTTTAATTTAATTAACTCTTAGCTGTGGACATTAAAGTTTACTTGCAGTAATCTGTTCTTAATTTGACCTTTTGAATTGACTCCAAAATAATACATTTGTTTTATGTTTGATTTATTTATAAACACTTATTCACAGCTAATACTAGATGACTTTCACATGACTATAACAGATTAAACAAAACAATATTTTTTTGTTTTTTTAATTTATAAAAGCATGTCATGCATTGAACATTTGACTGTTAGTTTAAAAAAAAAAAGACATGTTCAGCTTCATTTATGGAAAAAATGGCCTGCAGTACCAAATGTGTCAAGTTCTCCACATTTTTAAATATAAACTGCTTTTATTTGCTTAATGAATGATTTTAAAGATACATTTAGTTTGTGGTGTTTATAAAAAGTGATGGCACTTTTCTGTCTTGAGGACAAAATGAGAAGTGTGAAACTACGTTAGAATATAAGAATAATTTGCCTTGCACAGGCTTGTTGAGAGTTTCAATGTCGGAGTTTGTATAACGCGTCTCATAATTGTCTCCTGTAGGCAAACGGAGTTTTCAGAAACGGTTATTCTGTAACTGGACTGGTGGATACAAATGGTTGACAGCGCTGGCGCTCAGGTAAACTTACCAGCAGCATTTCTAATGGTTCAGACAATTTTTGATGCTGAAATTAAAACCTTTTTTTTTGAGTCGAGATAAAATGATTTCATTGTGTCTGTGTCCTGTTCTATGTTTCCGTAGCATCACTCTTGGTGGTTTTGGTGCAGACCGGTTTTATCTGGGTCAGTGGAGAGAGGGTCTGGGCAAACTGTTCAGCTTTGGCGGCCTGGGCATCTGGACTTTGATAGATGTTCTTCTAATAGGGGTCGGCTATGTGGGTCCTGCTGACGGCTCGCTGTACATCTGAAGCAAAGCTCTGGACACGCTGTTGGTTTATGACCTCCTCTTCTCACACTACTTCACTCTGCAAAGACTGAAGATCTCAGATGCCGTGTTCTTATCACGTTTGCCTGCCCTCGCTCTGCTCAACACGTCCTCATCCCATCTGCTACCAAGCAGGAAGTGTTTTCCTCTTCACGCCAGTGCAAACTCTGCCCACAGAACCTTTCGATCCATCCCAGTCACTCTGCGCCCATCTCCTGTTGAGACTGTGCAGATGGAGCTGTGCAGGAGGATGAGGAGCCAGTGACGGCGTGCATCCAGTTGGTTTTGCGTAACTAGTGGTTAGGCTCCATCTTGCCGATTGACAGCTTTGGTTTCCTGTGGAGCGGTTCTTTCACAGACGTCCTGTCACCTTAGAGTACTTATTGCTCCTCCTTTATTACAAGGTAGATGCATCAGCAAGGGTCAGATGGTTACCATGGCTACAGAGCTTTTTATGGCCATGCCACACAGACAGAAGACAAGTTGAAGGGTAACGTTTATGTTTTAAAAGCATGAAAATGCTGCAGGGATTGCACTGAATTGTGTTTTTATTGATGACGGTCGCTTTTGACAAAAAAAAACCTTCAATTGTCACCACCTGAAGTCAGCAGTGGAGGTCACATCTACAAGAAAACTGTCCTGTGGGTTTAAAAACAAACTTTATGTCCTTTTGAAACTCATTTCAGTTTCTTAGACTTGGTTTGTTTTGTTGTACTGAGAGTTTGTTCTCTTGCTGCAGCCACATAGTCACATTTGTGAAAATGAACAGCTAATCCAAAAACCTTTGTGTATGATAGATTTCGAAACCTTTGAAAAGAGCTGTGTTAGCAAACTCCAGTGACTCTGTGGTTTTCTCGTGTTGGAGATATTGCAGATATGTTCTCTGCTTTCTACTGCTAATCTTTTTTACACTTAATTTGCATTGTGTGGACAAAAAAAAGTGACCCTTAATGTTATTTTAGGTTTGAGACCAACCACCTTCTGTTTCCATGTTTTTGTTAAGTGTTGGTTGGTATTTATTTATGGACACTGTAAATAAATTATTTTTAAGTTATAAAAATAAAATGCAACTGCACTTAACACTGCTTACCACATGAATGTATTTGTATCCTTTCGCGTTTTGTAGTATTTATTGTGGCAACATTGTTTATAACTGTGCAGGTGCTGAAAAGATATTGGTTCATTTAAAAAAGAAAAACAAGAATTCAAACCAAAATCTCCAAGAACAGGACTTAAAATGTGACTAGCGTGGACTTTTTTTGCTCACTATCAGTAACATGATTGTGGAAAATGCTGTTTCTTTCAGATCCTGCATTGAAACTAGAGCACAGGTTTTCATACGTGGCCCAAAACTATCCAGATGAAAAGACTTGTGGGCCACAAAAATGTGATTAACTCTCAACATGAACAATATTTTGGAGAAAGGACAAATTTACTATTTTGGTGGAGACTTCCATTGTTGTAGATAAGAAAACGTTAAAAGCTTCATAAACGCTAAGCTTATATTTTGTATTAAAAAGGATTTGATTTGTTTGGTCTATGTTTGTTGTTTTCTTGTGGAAAGTTCATTTTAGTCAGTTCTCAGCGTAATTTGAGTAAGTGTCCTTTTAAAAGGGGGTCAATCAGCCTTTTGGACCATGGACAACCCAAAAGGCTGATCAAAGTTCTGAACAATCGTCCAGCTGTCAGTCGCTGCAACAGATTCATAGAAGGTTTGATAAAGTTGAGCATCTCGTATGCAGATGATACCACGTTATATTCATTTAAAAATGTCTTGAATATTTAATCAACTGCGATATTTAGTCAAGTTTTATTAATCCTCTGAAATTCTCCTTTCTGGTAGAAATCAGTAAAGGTTTTTGGTGCTTTGTACCATGAAGTGAAAATAAAAAATATTACAGCCAAAGGTTTGTATTTTACTTAATATTGCTCAATTTGACAATATTTCTTTTCACCCGTTATCCTGTAAAAATCTAAACATAAAACAGGATTACCAATGAATTTGCAGAAAGTTTACATCGACCTCTACAGCCTGCTGGCCAAAATGATATTGTTCTTAAACTGCAAACTTAAACACTTTGGACACCCGAGCTGTAGAGTGTTAGCCGAGGTCACAGGTCAGGACCACAACAACTTCCAGAACTTGAGTCTGAGTTTGTTTCAGATTGCCAGGAGCTTGAACTTTCCAGTGAAAAGCTGTCAGTCGGAGTTGTTTGTGTCTTTTTTTCTTTTTCTCTCAGTTTGCACAGATAGTGGTGAGAGAGGCCTATGATCCCCCTCAGGCTGTGGCAGAAGGAGGGGTTCAGGGAGGGGTTAACGTCGTAGCAGAGGAACATCGTCTTCCTTATATCTGTTCCACGACCTCGGGCACAGAAACTACAGCTGACGTCAGTGAACATGGTCCTCAGTGTGACAGCTTTCACCGTCAGTCTGCTCCACCAAGTTTGGTTTACTTATGCTCTGGTGTTACAGCATAGTAAAAATAAAGAGCATTTCCTTTTTAGTAGGTTCCTGTAGTTCGTGTTGACTTTTCCAATTGGCTGCTTTGCTGAGGCTGCTGAAAAATGTCTCCACCCTAATTTTAGGCCCTCAGTGTTGACGCCACCCACTCAGTCACTGCAGCTCCCACCTACAGACTGATGCAAGTGATGAGAGTTGACTGCTCGACGGCAATGGACATGGTTTCTTTTTCTGTTCAAAGTTTTTTTTTTACTTAGTTTGAAAAAGGTTGTGTATTCCTGTGTCACATTAGTGTTTTGCCCAATTACATCTTTAAATTTGCACAATATTTATTTAGTTACGTGATATATGCTTTTCAAACTGTATATAGGCTGGCATCATTTTATAGAACAGTCATGATATAAACCTGAATGCTGCGCACAGAAAAGCCATTAACGATTAAGATGTGATCTAATCACTTACAAATTATCTAAAGAAGAAAAGTTTAGAGTAAACAAACTGCACAAAATATCTTTATGTCAGTGCTTATGGCTAAATTACAAATAATTACCAGAGCTGTGGTATTATCTCTTGATATTCCAATTTGATCCAATTATATAGCTATCTTCAATGATTATATAGAATTTCTTTTTGAAAATACAGTAATGCTTTAATTTTGTGGTACTTTCCACACGGTCATTATGCCTAAAATCAGTCTTGGGTAGTGGTCAAAGACGGACGAACTCACGACTTCATTTTGAATTGCTAATAATGCAAAGAGGAGAACAAAAGTTTATTCATCTCCTGCTTACGCAACTCCATTTAGTCCCATCATGTCTGGGTTTAGGATCACCGCTTTGAGCCCCTCAGCCCCACAAAATTGTGTCTCATCAATGGGCTCACTCCTTCAGGAGTTTATAAATCCAACAGGAAGCAAATAAACACAAGTTGCTACCACATAAATTAAAGTCCGAAGCTCCAGCTGCGAGCTGCTTTTCTCCCACATTTAGACGGTTGCCAAGGAGAACTTGTTCCCACCTGAGGACATGAGAATGATTACAGTACCCATGAAGTGTTCACAACCTTTTCACCTTTGTATTTTATTTTTACAAAACAAGGCAATGACTCAATGGTGTAATTATTTCCAATCAGAGGACCAATTAATGCCAAATTGAAAACAAAGCTCTGCAACATCATCTAAATTAAAGGGGCCAATTGTAATCAAAGTGTGATGAGGGACTTTCACCTGTACGTGAAATAGTTGCACGAAGCCATTCAAACGTTTAATCATGCTGCAAGCATTTTTCCCTACAGCAACCCACTGAACAACTTTTCGGCTGCTTTCTTCTTCAGGGGTCACTACAGCGAACTAAGGCGCACAAAGACTTGGCAGTTATTTTTACACCGGATGTCCTTCCTGACGCAACCACGGACCATCGAGCTACCACAGCCCTCTGTGGAGCAGAGAGCTGCTGTCTACAGTGCACAGGGGAGCAGATGGTGGGGGTTAAAGGCTTTGCTCAAGGGCCTAGAGTGGGGCAAATGAGGGTGCTTCACCTTTCCCACCCACAATTTTATCCCTGTACCGGGAGTTGCACCAGAGATCTTCCGATCACAAGCCCACCTTCTCCAACCTCTGCACCACAACTCCCACTGCAACCTACTGAGAGAAAAATTCAACTACAACTAAAGTCAAACCAAATTCAACAGAAAAACCTGGAGGTCGCTCAGAAGAAAAAAAAAAGGTTTCAGACAATCCGTTAAATCTTAAAAGAAAAAAAAAAAACAAAAAAAAAAAACATCCATACCTTTGCTTTGCTGAAAAACAGTAAAGCTAAAGTTCAACAAGTTGCAAACAGGTTGGACTACAGAGGAGTGGGGTAGGGCGAACATAAATCTCACTGAATGTTCTCAAAAGGACATTTACATACTCACAGCACTCTTGCATCAATACTTCTGAAAGTTTTTATTTTAATCTCTGCACAGACATTTTGCATTAAAATTAGCTGAAATTACATTTTTAGTGGGGTGGTTCTCTGAAGGTTTTGGCATCAGCCTTTTCTGCAATTGTTCAGTTCAACTTTTCATCTCCGGTATCACGCTCATGATTTTGACAAAACTTTACTTTCAGACATTAGAAAAAAGCTGCATCATCATGCTCGTTTCAGTAATTAGACGGAGCCAAACACAAAAAAAGTCAGAAGCAAGTTGCGATCTCAGTGATTTATTTGTACAATAGGATTCTGTGTACAAATGCCCCAGCTCAGATGTAAAAAGGCAAGAACATAAGAGCACCTTTCCTCCCCAACCTCCATCCCTCAAACCACAGTGAGCTTTGATGAGAAGTACAAAATGAAGAGCTTTTAAAAAAAAAAAAAAAAAAATTAAAGCAACTACCTGCAAATACAGACAGGATTTTAAAGCAAATAATGAAAATGAAATAAAAACTTAACAAAAACCCCAAAATGATGTCCAACTTCTATGGCAGTGGGGCCATTATGACCTCGGTTTAAATAGCGTGTGAACGGTTTGACAAATACAAAAAAAAAAGGCGTATGGTGACATCAAATCCATGTGCCTATACCGCTTAAACATCAGACCATCCACAAACGGGTTTTTAGATTTCACATTGTAGACAAGACTTAACATAAATTTGAATTCTCTCTAGCTCATCTCAAGTAGAAAAAGCGTAGAGGGAAAATAGGCAACATGGTCCATTTCAGCGATGGATGGTAGTTCTCTCAAAACCATATCAGTTTACATTCACTTAAACTTCTCCACTGGTAAATCTCATAATGTTACCATAGTAACGCAAAATGTCGTATAAAAATATAACAAAAGACTGAAAACCGACGCACAACAAAAATATATATACACAGTCTCAAATGCAGAAGGAAGGGGAGAGCAACAAGTTGCCAACGGATCATTTTTCTTTCTGGGGGTAGAGGAAACTTGCGTTGCACAGATCAAGTCTGAGTAGCGGCACTCTTTCCTCGCTCAACGAAAGTGACTCCATGAAAGCCGCGAGTACCATCAGGACCCCTTGGCAACCTCATGACTCCTGGCGGGAGACCATCTGCATTCTGGATCTTCCTGCCCAGCATGGGGCTGCCGACTGGACTGCTCTCTTGAGAGGCCACCTGCTTTCGCCGCTGAACCCATGGGCTCCCAGAAGGCGTGAGGCTGCTGTCTGAGGAGTAGTCTGCCCAGCGGCGCCCTGCCTCAGGGCTCAGCCTGCCCTCGCTCACCAATGGAGACTTGTTGGCATGATGGGATTTACGCTGAGGACACGGGCTGGCACGGGGACTCGACCAGGGGCTGTTACGTGGAGATATACCAGGACTTAGATGATTGTTCTGGAAGCTGATGCCAGCAGTGGTGGGGCTTAGCTTGTTGCAGGATTGGGACTTTCTTGCCAGTCTGGGTGAGGTTGGGGTGCTCTCTGTGTCTGAGGAACTGCAGGCCGAGTCCTCCCCGTGGTACTGAAGCTCTCGTACTCTGCTGTTCAGAGAGCGGCTTTTGCGCATCCCACCCTCCTCGCGAGGTCGTTCTTTGGACACCTTCTTTTTAGGTGGCTTGGTTCCAATAAGAACCACTTTCAACCCCAGTGAACCGCTTCCGCCGTCCTCACTTCCCACCGCTTCATTGGCTTTAACGGCAGCCTCCACCTCCTCGAACTCCACAATGGCGCACTCTTCTGTGCCTAGCTGGGTGTAGCGCCCACTCAGTCTCTTCAGGTCAGCCGGTAGGTCCTTCCCCGGCTTCAAGACTCTGACAGAAGAAATGGCACCGTAGGTCCCGAACGCCTTCAGCAGCAGCTTCATCAGCTGCTCCTGCTGAGTGGCTCCACCCTCACAGCTCCCATTATCCTTGGTGAGAACAGCCAGTTCAGGCCATTTCTGCAAGTCACTCAGCAGCAGCATCCGGCTGGGCAACGACTCACTGGCAAAGACCGGCACTGCAGATTTGCGTCGCACCTTACGCCCTTCGTCATTCAGCTCGAGTATCTTGGAGTGCTTCAGAGCATAGGCAGTTGTTCTCCAATCACGAGTCAAGTGTTTAACCTGCAACGAGACAACACTTGCATCACTAAAGGGCCTTTTGAGGGGGCCCATTCTGCAACCATTAGGTCTGATCTATGAATCAACTACAAGTCGTGTTTCAGTTTGAATCAGCTGAAGTCAATATGCCACAGTGAAATGACTCGCTTCAGTTCAGTAAGTTCAGCCCACGTAAGGTCTCGTTTATTTCAAAATTACACGATGTGAGTTATTGTGACATGAACTGAACAAACAAGCCAACAGATCTGATGCATGAGCCTGAAGTAGCACCTGCCGTTGTGAATCAGTGCGAGATCATTACAAACATTAACAGTTGTGCCGACACTAGAAACATTCAGTCATTGCTCTTCTAAATCTTAGCACGTCACTGAGAATTTACAATATATATAAACTATTCAGATTTTAGTTAAAAAAAAAAAAACTGTAGTTTCTACCAAACTAGAAAGTTCCTGGAGAAACTTTGACGAGACTCATTCCTTCAACCTTTATACAGGCTAGCCTCACTGAGCCAGGGACTCATTTGCAAGAGGGGCCTGTTCCAGACAGAAAATATAAAGTACAGACATCAAAACGGTAGACGATAATAAAACTAAAGTAAAAATGCAGTTAAGAGTAGTGTACAAAACAAATCTGGGTGCCGTAAAACGGTGAAATACTAAACACACATTTGCTTTGATTTTTTTTATTTGACATCTACCAGGCTGCTGCCAATTTAAATTGTTGATTTGATAGTACTGTGTGCTGTGGTTCACTCAGCTACCACTATGCCAAGTTTCAGTTGAATAACAAAGTGTCTGAGTTATCTTTTTCTTCTTTAGTCAAGGCAGCCATCTTGGATTTTTGATTTGGATTCAGTATGAGATGGGGAATGCTCTCAGCTGTAACCTCAAAGTTCAGCTGCAAGTGTAAAAATGGCAAAATAATTTAAAAGTAGCATTGGCAGCCATCTTTGATTTTGATGCAGCATTAGATGGAATGGTTCTCTCACACACCAAATTTCAGCTCAATATCACTAAAATCAGTTGATTTATAGCATTTCTTTTGCTCAGGCGGCCATCTTGGATTTTCAAATTGCAGTTTATATTGTGGTTGGATCCTGTTCTGCTGGTTCTCTGCTTAGGAACACGGACATTTTTAAAAAGTGCATAATTAGCCTGCAGTGCAGAATGCAGCATATGGAATGTACACTAAATTTAGGCCATTGTAGCTTTGTGGGCAGTTTGCCTTCGCATGTCAGCTATTCAGAAGATGTTCCGTGTTTGCACCCAAGTGACCGGCAGCCATGGTTACCTTTTTGAATGAGGTGAGCAGCTTGACGCTAACAAACCCGAGTTTGTTGCGTCGGACGTGTTTAAGCAGGAAGGCGTCATGCTCCAGGTTCTCATCAGATAGGTAGAACTCGATCTGAGCCACCAGCTTTTGGATGAGCTCTGGATCTGGGGGCTGCCAGCTCTCCTCCTCCTCCAGCTCTCCTCCACTGGTGCCTGCACCACTGTGTGTGGGAAGAGAACATGGTCAGCACAGACTTCGTTTGTAGTGGAAAAGATGAATATTTTATCCTATAAAAGCACCAACGTTACAACTGTTGCATTTATTTTTTCAGTGCTCATTAATACAATAAGCCAGAGGCTTACAAAGTGCTGGCAGAGACTAATCCTCATTCTGCCATCTCCCTGACACAGAACGTCTGCCTGCTCGCCGCCTCTTAAGATTTTTTCCCCCCCACCATCATCAAATTGTGTCTGTGGCCACAGTTCCTGCTCCATGCCAGATCTCATGTCCATCCTGAGCCTGCGGAGGCCTCACCATCGGAAAGGTGCAGAGTCAGACTCTCCCTCCCACAAAGAAAAAGGCGACTCAAAAACAAACCTCACAGTGGACAAGAATGCATTTTGTATCACTCAAAAGCTCAAACTTGCCTGACACCTGGCTTAGTTTGTAAACCAACAGTCATGAGCTTTAAACATTGAAGATTTGAATGAAATTTGGATGACTCATCACCCCCCC